ACTGGAGCCAGGAAGAACTCCAGCACCAGTGAACAAGAGGAGTTACAGCAGACACTATCCGTGCAACCAGGTGGGACAAGAGAGGCAAGCATTACCAACCTTGGTGTCCTATGAGGGGGCAGCAGGATATCGGATGGATGGGGAACAGCCGGGCCCAGGACTTGTACTTGACCATAGGAAGGGACGGTGGGAAGAACCCACGGCCTTGGAGAGGGAGCTGGCCATGGGGTACAAGGAGAATGCCACAGCAGCCCCGGGAGTGAGTGAGAAGGAAAGAAGGCGGGCATTAGGGAACGCTATGGATGGGTACATGATGAGATGGCTGGTGCAGCGGATGTGGAAAGAGACAGTACTGCACTGGGGACTGAAAGAAGGAGAAAACACAGTAGCAACAGTCAGACAAGGGGTGTGGGCCTGCCTGCAGAAAGAGGAGCCAGAGTGGAGGATAGGTGAGAACATGAGCGAGGAAGGGAAGACAGCAATGCGAGCACTGCTGGCCAAACATCGGAGGGGCTTCGCCTTCACCCTGCAGGAGTTGGGGAAGTGCAACATCAAAGAGATGGCACTGAAGCTGAGTAGTGATGAGCCAGTATTCCACCGCAGGAGGAAGATGCCACCAGGGGATGAAGCGATCTGCAGGGAGAAGATAAAGGAGCTGCTGGAAGCCGGACTGATTCGGAGATCAGAGTCCGAATACGCCACCCCAACCGTGGTGGCAGCCAGGAAGGACTTGACTGGAGAGGTGCTGAGCAGGAGAATGTGCGGGGATTACAGGGATCTCAACAAAATCACAGTGCCGGATAGATACCCCATGCCGATGGCGGAAGAACTGTTTGACAAGTTGGCCGACGGGGTGTTCTTCACGACGCTGGACTTGCGGCAGGGATTCAATCAAATCAAGATCAGAGAGGAGGATGTAAAGAAAACGGCCTTCCATGGACCAGATGGGTTGTACGAGTGGCTGTATATGCCCTTCGGTCTAAGAAACGCATCGGCAGTGTTCCAGAGAGTCATGGATGCGGTGCTGAGGGGAATAGAACATGCGGCATGCTACATCGATGATGTAGTGATCTTCAGCCTGACCGAACAGCAGCACCTGGAGGACGTGGAGAAGACACTGGCGGCCATAGAAGGGGCAGGGCTCACATGCCATCCCAACAAATGCAGATGGGGGGAGCGGACAGTGCAGTACCTGGGGTATGAGGTCAAAGGGGGGCAGATTGGGATCCAGCAAGCGAAAGTGCAGGTGCTGGACAGGCTGAGGGAACCCAGAGACAAGTCCGGGCTGCGGGCGGTCTTGGGCTTCCTCAGCTATTACAGACGCTTCGTGCCGAACTTCAGCAAGAGAGCAACGGTGCTGAATGGGATGCTGCGGGAAGACAAGGCATGGGAGTGGGGAGAGAAGCAGAGGGAGGCACTGCAAGACCTGATGACCGCTGTGAAGACGGCGACAGTACTGCGGCTGCCGGCAGCAGACCAGCCCTTTGTTCTCTACACTGACTGGAGCAGTCAGGGGATGGGGGCAATACTGTGTCAGGAGGTAGAGGGAGTGGAGAAGGTAGTGGCCTACGCCAGCAGGAGCTGCAACCCGGCTGAGGCACAGTACAGCTCATACATCGGGGAGGGGCTGGCGGCGGTGTGGGCAGTGGGGCATTTCAGAGTATATCTACAAGGGAGAGAGTTCACTCTGGTCACTGACCATCAGCCCCTCACATGGCTGATGACCACACCAGGGCTGACAGGCAGGAACGCAAGGTGGGCAGTAAAGCTACAGGAGTATGACTTTAAGATAAGGCATAGGCCGGGAAAGACACTACAGCACGTCGACGGTCTCTCCCGCAACCCACCACCACTGGAGACGGAACGGAAGGCGGCAGAGGCGGAACAGACAGAGCGGGAGCCAGCGCATACCTTAATTCTACTGGCGCGAGAGGTGGAGCAGAACGGTGCGAAGGGGAGTAAGGGGCCAGCTGACATTTGGCAGGATGCAAAGGCGATGGGATGGGTGAAGGGAGAGACCGAGGAAGATGAGACAGTATCTGAAAGGGTGAGGGCACGAGGGCATCACTACAGGTGGTTTCAACAGCAGCTGCAGATAAAAACAGAGGATGGCTGGAAGCTGGTGCCGGCGCCAGAGGAGCGTGAAGCAGTGATCAGGGAAGTGCACACTAAGCTGGGGCATTTCGGGCATGAGAGGACCGTACACCTGCTGAAAACGGGCTGGTGGTGGGAAGGGATACGCAGGCAAGTGAAAGAGTGGGTAGAAGGGTGCGAGGCTTGTCAGAGGAGTAAGGCGAACCTCACGCAGGCCAAGGCAGAACTGCAGTCACTGCCCATCTGCGGCTTGGGATTTCGGTGGTCCCTGGACCTGGCGGGAGAGCTGCCGCTGAGCAGGAGTGGGAACCAGTACATAGTGCTCATGATTGAGCATGTGAGCAAGTGGCTGGAGGTGCGAGCCATCCCTAGCAAGAGCGCGAGGCACATAGCAGCGGCATTCAAGGCCCAGGTGGTGTGTCGATTCGGAGCCTGCGGGGAGGTACTCACGGATCAGGGCACAGAATTCCAGGGAGAGTTTAAGAAGTTGCTGCTGGAATCTGGCATCACGCACCGACGAACCTCCCGCTACCACCCACAAAGCGACGGGCTCACTGAGCGCATAGTACAGACCATCAAGCGAGGACTACGGACCTACGGGGAGCAGAGAAGGAGGGACTGGGATGAGGAGTTGGACTGGATAGCAGCTGGATACAGATTCGGGAAGCAGGCAGCACTGAGGGATCATTCCCCATACAGCCTACTCTATGGACGAGAGCCAATCCTGCCAGTGGGGGCACCAAGGGTACTGACAGACACAGTAACAGCAGGCACGATCAAGAACTGGGTAGCCCTGTCCGACGTGAGGGCACGCTACATGCGCTTCATGATGCCAGCCGCGCTAGAGAACCTGCACACCGCTCAGCTGCGAGATGCCAGGAGATATGAACAGAGGCAACGCAAGGGAGAAGGGAGAGGGGCACGTGGCGTATGTGAGGGGCAGGAAGTGTATCTGAAGAGAGCGAAGCAGGATACTCTCGATGTGGGGTTGGGGACAGTGCGGTGGAAGGTCAAGGAGGTGCGCCCCTCTGGGGTGCTGGTCTTGGAAAACGACAAGGGGGCACAGTTGAAGGAACACCAGACGAATACCGCTGTCATCAGGGGGACAGGGCCTCAGCGTCATGGTCCTGTGACCCGTGCTCAAGCTGCACAAGCGCGGGCACAGGAGGGGGCAGGGAGTGGCTGAGGCAACACAAGAAGCTTCAGGGAGGAAGGGAGTCAGAACGAAGGCAGGTGGCAGGCAAAGCTGTTTCTCCGACAGCTGTCACCGAATATGCACGGTTGTGCATATAAGGTGCCAGTGATGCTGTGGTGTAGTGTGGGGTGTAGCATTACCGAATATGAACATTTGGGGTGTAGGTAGTTGGGAACCAGGGAGAGTGTCGCGAAGTTGGTAGGAGAGCTCCGAGGGGTGCAATCCAAGGAACCAATGCGAATGAACCAAACCAGGCTCGAGGCGCACATTGAGAAATGCACGCTTCGAGCCAGGGACAGGTAAATTCACTAACACACACTCACTCGTTGCTTTTCTCTTGTTATTCTTTCATATAGTGGATCGTTGTTACCTTCATCCTACGGCTAGGTGACACACCACTCAGGGAGGACCCTTGAGGTGGGAGCTTTGTCTCTTTCAAGGGAGTGGCTGAGGCAACACAAGAAGCTTCAGGGAGGAAGGGAGTCAGAACGAAGGCAGGTGGCAGGCAAAGCTGTTTCTCCGACAAAGAGGGTGCTTGCAGCTGCATGGCAAGAGGGTGCTTGCAGCTGCATGGCAAGAGGGTGCTTGCAGCTGCATGGCAAGAGGGTGCTTGCAGCTGCATGGCAAGAGGGTGCTTGCAGCTGCATGGCAAGAGGGTGCTTGCAGCTGCATTGCAAGAGGGTGCTTGCAGCTGCATGGCAAGAGGGTGCTTGCAGCTGCATGGCAAGAGGGTGCTTGCAGCTGCATGGCAAGAGGGTGCTTGCAGCTGCATGGCAAGAGGGTGCTTGCAGCTGCATGGCAAGAGGGTGCTTGCAGCTGCATTGCAAGAGGGTGCTTGCAGCTGCATGGCAAGAGGGTGCTTGCAGCTGCATGGCAAGAGGGTGCTTGCAGCTGCATGGCAAGAGGGTGCTTGCAGCTGCATGGCAAGAGGGTGCTTGCAGCTGCATGGCAAGAGGGTGCTTGCAGCTGCATGGCAAGAGGGTGCTTGCAGCTGCATGGCAAGAGGGTGCTTGCAGCTGCATGGCAAGAGGGTGCTTGCAGCTGCATGGCAAGAGGGTGCTTGCAGCTGCATGGCAAGAGGGTGCTTGCAGCTGCATGGCAAGAGGGTGCTTGCAGCTGCATGGCACCAGCCTCGTGATTGCCTTTGCACTGCCAGCCAGCCAGTGCGCCCCCTGCTGCTCCCTCCCTCCCTCCCTTCCTCCCACCCTTCCCTCCTGTCTTTTTCCTCTGCACCAACACTGCAAAGGGCAGGCAGCAAACACTTGCCGTATCCCTTGCACTTGTTGTATACCTCCTTGGATGCTTCGGCTTTAAACCTCTGCACCACCATGGGTTGTCCAGACTCCCCTTCCGGCACCCCTTGTTGTACCCCCGCTGTGCCTGCACCAGCCTTCTCCTTACCTTGGCTGTGCCTCCTCCGTGCCTTGACACGGCCCTCCCTTCCTGCATCCTCACTTCCTCTTAGATGCTTCTGCTTTCAGCCTCTGCACCACCACGGGCTGCCCTGCCCCATGCCTGCCCCTTACCTCTTTCGAGGCCTCTGCCTTGAGCCTCTGCACCACCACGGGCTGCCCTGCCCCTCCCTTCCGCCGCCCCTTGTTGTAACTTGTACCCCCACTGTGCCTGCACCAGCCGCCTTCTCGCCTTGGCACTGCCCCCCCCTTCACTCCTGCCCTTTCCTGCCCCATGCCTGCCCCTTCATGCCCCTTACCTCTTTCGAGGCCTCTGCCTTGAGCCTTTGCACCACCACGGGTTGCCCTGCTCCTCCCTTCCGGCGCCCCTTGTTGTACCCCCACTGTGCCTGCACCAGCCTCCGCCTTGCCTTGGCCGTGCGGCGGCGATGGCGACCCGTCTGGATTGCATGGGAGAGGGGAGGAGGCGGAGTGGGTTGCATGAGATGAGATGAAAGGAGGAAATGCAGCCATGCCTCCTCGCCTCTGCTCTGCACCTGCACCTGCACCAGCCTCCTCCTTTTTGAGGCGCCTCAAAAACGACCTCCTCGCCTCTGCTCTGCGCCTGCACTGCACCAACCAACCGCCTTCTCGCCTCCTCGCCTCTGCTCTGCGCCTGCACCAGCCTCCTCCTCGCCTTGGCAGTGCGGCAGCAACGCGGTGACTTTTGAGTCGACTCAAAAGTTGCTCTGCGCCTGCACTGCACCAGCCTCCTCAAAAGTTGCTCTGCGCCTGCACTGCACCAGCCTCCTCCTCGCCTTGGCAGCGCGGCAGCAATGCCGACCCATCTAGAGTGTGCGAGGAAGAGGAAGGAGGGGTGGGGATAAGGAGGCGTGGGGGGGAGGAAGGCTGCCAGGCTGGCTGTGAGGCGACTGATTGCCCAACTCACAGCTACCAGGTGTGAGTCGTCATAACAAGAGGGAGACAGATTGAGCTGACTTTTGAGTCGACTCGAAAGTCGGCTGTGAGGCGACTGATTGCCCAACTCACAGCTGCCAAGTGTGAGTCGTCCTCCTAACAAGAGGGAGACAGATTTGGCATGAGGGTAGGTAGGTAGATAGGTAGGTGGCTAAGTGGGAAGGTAGGTAGTACCGGGGTGGGTGTCTCTTCATGCATGTCGCCCCCCTCCTGCCCCAACAAGCAGTGTGCGATCTGGGAGCACGTCTTGAGGTGAGACAGCACTGTGCGTGCCAGCACACAGCTGCTCGCACCGAATATCCGCACGCCCTTGCTCAGTAATTCCCTCTCCAACGCAGTCCACTCCTGCTGATCGCAATGCTGCTCCTTCTCCTGCTCCTCCTGCTGCTCCCGCTGCTCCTGCTGCTGCTGCTGCTGCTGCTGCTGCTGCTGCTGCTGCTGCTGCTGCTGCTGCTGCTGCTGCTGCTGCTGCTGCTGCTGCTGCTGCTGCTGCTGCTGCTGCTGCTGCTGCTGCTGCTGCTGCTGCTGCTGCTGCTTCTCCTTGCTTCTCCCGTCCTTTCCTTGCGTCCCTTCCATCCCTTCCCTCCCTTCCTCCTCTTCCATCCCTTCCTTTCCTTGCGTCCCTTCCATCCCTTCCCTCCCTTCCTCTTCTTCCATCACTTCTCTTCCCTCCTTCACATCCTCCCCTTCTTCCAGATTACTCACCCGCTCTTTGCCTTCTATTGCCTCTTTCTCCTCTCCATTTTCCCGCTCACAGCCCCTATCCCCATCACCTTCCACATCAGCAGTCATCCTTACATCACCTCCTTCCGCCTCATCCCCCGTACAAGCCTCCCCATCACTAGCATCACCCTCCTCTTCCGAGCTAATCTCCAAAACCGATGGGCTACCTTCTCTCTCCCGCTTTCCCTTCTCACCCTCCTCCTTTTCCCCCTTCCCTCTCCTCCTCTCACCCTCCTCCTTTTCCCCCTTTCCTCTCCTCCTCTCACCTCCTTCTCCCTCACGCCATCTCACTCCTCTTCCCCTTCCACTTCCTCCCCCCCCCGCCCTCCCACGTCCTTGGCCCTTTCCTCTTCCTCCGCTCCCCTTCTTACCACCCCTCCCCACGCCCTGGCTACTTCCCTCCCCAGCCCCTTCCCCTGTGTATAACCTTCCTTCCTTTCCCTCCTCTTGTTCCTCCTCTTCCTCCTTGCCCATCTCCTCTTCCTTCACGCTCTTTACCTCCTTGCCTCCCTCCTTCTCCACCTCTTCACCCTCCTCCTCCTCCATTGTCTCCTCTTCTTCTTCCGCATTCTCCTCCCCTCCCTCCTCCTCCTCCTCCTCCTCCTCCTCCTCCTCCTCCTCCTCCTCCTCCTCCTCCTCCTCCTCCTCCTCCTCCTCCTCCTCCTCCTCCTCCTCCTCCTCCTCCTCCTCCTCCTCCTCCGCACTCTCCTCCCCAGCAACACTGTCCAATAATTCAACCTCCTCCTCCTCCTCTTCCTCCAATTCCTCTGCTTCCTCCTCCTCATCCTCCAATTTCACCAAACCAACAATCTGCTTCCCCTTTTTCTTGCCTTTTGCCTTGGTTTTTGCTGCTTTCTTCTCTGCTGCTTGCACTCGAGTAAGCTTCAGTGCCACAAGAGCAGGAACCTGCAACATGGCCAAAGCCAAAGCCAAGGCCAGGGCCAAGGGTAAAAGCGGAGAGGGGGAAACAGGCTGAGTTCACCCCTTTCCCAATTCTACTGCTTGCCATTTCCCTTGGTTTTCGCTGCTTTCTCCTTTGCTGCTTGCATTTGAGGCGGCTTCAAAACGCCACAAGAGAAGGAACCTACAGCGCCAAGGCGAAGGCCAAGGTCAATGGTAAGAGGGGAGCAGAGAGACGGATACATACATGGGCCCTGCCCTGCCCTACTGATTGCCCTTTTCCCTTCGTTTATGCAGTGTTTTCCTCTCCTCTACTGCTTGAATTCAAGCCAGTTTTGCCGCCAAACGGGCCGGCTCCAGCAATTTCCTATCTATACCATACTTTCTGATTTTCAATGAAAAAAGGAAAGAAAGTAAGAAAGAAAGAAAAAAGAAAGAACGAACAAAAGAAAGAAAGAAAAATCGTACACGGCAGTTACACGCAAGCTGCCTGCCCAGGAAAACTGAGGGTCGGGGACTTACATGCATGAAGCACAAGGGGCCGCAAGGCCCAGCAGGCATGGGTGACTTGCCAACGTCAGTAGATTCCACAGGGGGTTGCTGATCCGACTGCAAGGCGGGGGAGCGGGAAAGAGGGGAAAGAGGGGTGGGTGGGGGGTGGGGGGGGAGAAGAAACGCAGAGGGCGCAACAGAATGAATGTGTCAAGACACATGGCGTGGCGTGAGAACGGCCTGGCCTGTTGTTTGAAGAAGTGTTTTGAGACGCCTCAAAACACTTCTTCAAACACGTGGCACGAGAACGGCCTGGCCTGGCGTGAGAACGGCCTGGCCTGTTGTCGACCCTAAAGCAGGTAGTTAGCAGGCGGTGAGGAGAGGAAGATGAAAACAACGCAGTGGCATCAGCAGAGAGATTGATTCGCAAGCAACACCACTTTTTTTTCTCACTTTTTTCTTTCCTTCTTTTTGGCTAACCACAAAAATTGAATTTGAATTGACTCGCATCACAGGCACCACAGGCTCGTCAACGGTTCCTTCCATGTGCCTTGCAATCTTTTTTCGAGTTGACTGACTCATACTCTGACTTAGAAGTCATCTCAAATCAAGTCCGATGAGATTCAACTCAACTCACAGGCAGGCACCACCGGCTCGGCTCGTCGCCAGTTTCGTGTGTCTTTGCAATGCAACCCTTTCCTTGCGTCGACCAACATTTGACTCAAACGTCAACTCATAAGCTGACTCAAAAGTCAACTCAAGTCGACCCAGAATCAACTCACAGGCACCACTGGCTCGTCGACGGTTCCATGTGTCTTGCAATCAAAGATCTGCATGACAAGGAGGAGGGAAGTACGAGGGTGGGGGAGTTAGAAGGGCAGAGGGGGGGGGGGGGGGGGGGGGGGGGGGGGGGAATGCATTTCAACTCAAAGGCACCACATGCTCATCGACGGTTGTGTGTTTCTTGCAATCAAAGATCTGCCTGAGAAAGGTGGAAGAAATCGAAAGGGGAGAGAGGAGGGGGAGGGGGGTGAGGGGGGAGGGCGGAGTTTAGGCCGATTCAAAAGGCCACTTTCACTTCATGCGCCGTGTCACCAAATATTGGAGCGAGAAAGAGACGGGGAGGAAAAGGGATGGTGAGAGGGCTCGTTTGTATTGGATGAATGATGGGATAGGGCATGAATGATGGGATAGGGCATGAATGATGGGATAGGGCATGAATGCACTGGATAGAAAAAAGAAGCCACGTGTGTAGAGGTTACTTTTGAGAAGTCTCAAAAATGATGGGATAGGGCATGTATGCACTGGATAGAAAAAAGAACCGCTCCACTCAATTACTCCCTCCATCACTTGCTCCCTCCCTCACTCACTCCCTCGCTCACTCACTCACTCACTCACTCTCACAGACTCACGAGGCATCTGCGGCAGAAGAGGTGGTCCCACGAGTCCATGGCTCCCTTCAAGTCCTCAAACTGAACCAGGAGCACCTGCCTCGTGCTCTCACACACTCCCTCACTCTCTCTCCCTCACTCACTCCCTCAATCACTCCCTCCCTCCCTCCCTCACTCTCTCACTCACGAGGCATCTGCGGCAGAAGAGGTGGTCCCACGAGTCCATGGCTCCCTCCAAGTCCTCAAACTGCCCCAGCAGCACCTGCCTCGTGCTCTCACACACTCCACCTGAGCCTGAACCAGTCGTTTCACTCAGACTAGGATCGGCAACAGTGGAATCAGGAACAAGATTTGCAGCAGAGATTGCAGCACAAGTGCCAGTGTGAGAAGTGCGAGGAGCGGAAGATCCCGGACCACTCATGTTTGTGTCTTGGCCTGAGCCAGTTGTAGCACTAGCGGCAGCACCAGATGTATCAGCCGCATCAGTGGAAACACCAGCAGTGGCATCAGCATCAGGGACAACACCAGCAGTGGCATCAGCATCAGGGGCTCCTGTTGCGGCTGCTGCTGCTTCTTCTCCTACTGCTGCTGCTGCACCTGCTGCTGCTGCTGCTGCTGCTGCTGCTGCTGCTGCTGCTGCTGCTGCTGCTGCTGCTGCTGCTGCTGCTGCTGCTGCTGCTGCTTCTTCAGCCGGTGTATTTGTTGTTGAGATCGACAGCCGTTCAACTGCTGCCAGCAACACTGGTCTTCCTTTCTCATCCGCAGTTCTTCGCTCGCCCCTATCCACTTGCATAGGACAAGCACCCTTTTCCCCGTCCACTTGCATTCGACTCAATTCCTCTCTCCCTTCCACTGGCATAGGATCGCCGACCTGCTGCTCCTCTCCTCTTGGACGTGCCTCCCCTGCAGTTGACTCCTGCTGCTGTGTGGCCTGCTGCTGTGGCAACTGTTGCTGCAGGGACAACTGTTGCTGCTGTGTTAGCTGCTGCTGTCGCATTGACTGCTGCTGCTCTAGAGCCTCTCCCTGCTGCTCCTGCTCCTGCCGTAGCGCATCACTGTGTACGTGTGCCGTGTTTTGAGTCAACTCAAAACCCTGCTCCTGCCGTAGCGCATCACTGTGTATGTGTCCCTGCTGCCACCAGCAGGTGGCATGAGGGGGGGTTGCCAGAGGGAACTGCACGGTCCTGAGACTCCTCCAAATCACCTCCATGCCCACGCTGTTACTCTCACAATCAAGTGCTGTTTCTGTTCCTGCTGCTCCTGCTCCTGCTCCTGCCGTTTCTGCTGCTCCTCTTCTTGCTGCTGACACTTCTCCTGCTGCTGCATCCGCAGCTGCTGCTTCTGCCACAGCTGCCCCTCCTGCATCTGTTCCTGCCTCTTGTGCATCTGTTCCTGCCTCTGTTCCTGCCTCTGCTGCATCTGTTCCTGCCTCTGTTCCTGCCTCTGCTGCATCTGTTCCTGCCTCTGTTCCTGCCTCTGCTGCTCCCACGTGTGCCTCTGCTGCTCGCGCTTCTGCTGCGCGTGCCTCTGCTGTTTGAACTCCTGCTGTTGTTGCCCCTCCTGCTGTCCCTCCTGCTGCCGATTCACCTGGTGCCCCTCGTGGTTCTGCCGCCTCCTGCACCATTTCACGCTCACTTTCTCTTTTCTCCTCCTCAGAAACCCCATCCTGATTCTTCTCCTTCTCTAGAAACGCCTGAATCTCCTGGTACTGTGCCTTCAGCTCCGTGTGACGCATCTGGATGGGGTCGCAGCAGGGACGGCATGGAGAAGAAAAAGGAGGGATGGGGAGAGCAGGAAATTGCCTTGACTGCGGTCAAATGAAAAAAAGGATGAGCTAGGAAAGAGGCCAAGCGGCCATTATATAGCGGGGGAAGGGAGGGGAAGAGGCTAGGAGGGAGAAGGCTAAGTCACCCTTGTCATCTCTCTCTCTCTCTCTCTCTCTCTCTCTCTCTCTCTCTCACTCTCTCTCTCTCTCTCTCTCTCTCTCTCTCTCTCTCTCTCTCTCTCTCTCTCTCTCTCTCTCTCTCTCGCTCTCTCGAACGAGCGCCGGAAAAAACTGAAACACCAACTGAAGAATGAGCAGGTGAACTGAGGGAAACTTACGTGAACCTGCTCTGCCTGGGCATTCAAGGATGAAGCGAGATGCTCAATCACAATCCCAGAATCGCCGTGCTGCTGGATGGTCCTCCTGCAGGAAGCAGCAGCGGGAAGGGATTGGGTGCGGTGGAGTGCGTTGGAGTAAGGTGGAGTGAGATTTGAAGGACGAAGCAAGACGCTCAAGGAACAGCCAGACACAGCAGAGGGACGGGGATTTGGGTGCGGTGGAGTGTGGTTGTGTGAGGCGCACTCACCATATGAGTGCATCCTGCACGGCAATGTGAAGTCCTTGAGCTGGCTGCTGCTGGGCTGGTGGCCCTCATACCCCTGCATGTATATGCACCCCTCCATCCATCCACACTCACACACACTCTCTCCCTGCTCACCATATCAGTGCGTCCTGCACAGCACTGAAGTCTTTCAGTTGGCTGCTGCTGAGCTGAGCTGGCCCTCATTCTCCGACTCACTGCACACCGCACACTCTCTCAACGTCCCTCATCCCCCCCCTACATGCGCGCACTCACCATATCAGCGCGTCCTGCACGGCACTGAAGTCTTTGAGTTGGCTGCTGCTGGGCTGGCCCTCATCCTCCGACTCGCTGCACCCGCCCGCCCACCCACACACCATACTCTCTCCCCCCATCACCACACCCACCCATTCTCTCTCCTCACCATATGAGAGCGTCCTGCACGGCACTAAAGTCTTTGAGTTGGCTGCTGCTGGGCTGGCCCTCGTCCTCCGACTCGCTGCACACTGTCGTCTCCTCCTTCTCTGCATCGTAGTATAGCCGCCTCCTCCCCACTAGTGACTGTTCGTCTGGGATCTGCTCGTTCCTGTTGGAAGGGTGTGAGCACATGGAGGAAGGGGTGTGAAGTGCACGAACACTCCGACTCGCTGCACACCGTTGTCTCCTCGTTCTCCGCGTCGTGGTACAGCCGCCTCCTCCCCACCAGCGATTGCTCGTCTGGGATCTGCTCGTTCCTGTGGTGTGAGGTGGGGTGGGGTGGGGTGGGGGCGTGAAAGGCGAGGCATGGATGGCTGCTGGGGCCTCGTCCTCTGACTGACTCGCTGCACACCGTCGTCTCCGAAGCCGTGTGTGATAAAGTTGATCATTGAGTCAACTCAAAAATCAACTTATCACACATGGCTGTTTCTGGGCTGGCCCTCATCCTCTGACTCGCTGCACACAATTGTCTCCTTCTCTGCGTCGTAGTATAGGGGCCTCCTTCCCACTAGTGATTTCTCGTCTGGGATCTGCTCGTTCCTGTGCCATGTGCGTGTGAACACCAGGAGTGGAACAACTGAACAACGCATGAACACTCCGACTCGCAGCGCACCGGCGTCTCCTCCTTCTCCGCATCGTAGCACAGCCGCCTCCGTCCCACAAATGCCTGCTCATCCGGGATCTGCTCGTTCCTGTGTGCGGGTGCAGGGGTGGCCACATGGGAAGGAGAGATTTGCTGCGCTGCACACAGGCAGGCGTCTCCTCCTTCTCCGCATCGTAGCACAGCATCCTCCCATCAGTGATTGCTCGCTCGTCTGGAATCTGCTCGTTCCTGTAGTGTAGTGTGGTCCGCGCTTGGGACCTAGTGTCTGGTGGAGCTCGGAACGTTCTGCACCAGCAACATGATATGATAGGATTGTGTCAATCAGCAACAGCCATATCAGCTCAGCCCCCACCAGCCCACACTGTCACCTCCATTCTCTCAGAACTCACTTGGCAAGGAAGATCCAGGTGGTGAAGCTAGGGACGTTCTGCATGGCTGCCAAAATAGGATCATGACCAACCAGGCCAATCAGCAGCAGCCCTCTCACTCTAGACTCAACTCACTTGGCAAGGAAGATCCAGGTGGTGAAGCTAGGGACGTTCTGCACGGCTGCCATCTTGATGGGATTGGTGCGAGGAGCTGCCACCATCTCACCACCACCACCACCCTTCCCTCCTGCAACCCCTCCCGTGATCCCCCCTCCACTCCCCACTCCACTCCCCCCTGCATTCCCCCCTGCTCCTGCCCCTGCCCCTGCTCCTGCTCCTGCTGCTACCGCGCCCCATGCTCTTTCTCCCCCTGCTCGTTCCCCTGTCATTCCATTCGCTTTCAGTACTGTTGAGATTGCACCCCAGCCTCCCGCTCCCGGACCTGCCATGCCCGAACCAGCAACTCCCAGGACCGCCAGACCCGAACCTGCCATCCCCGAACCTGCTCCCGAGCCTGCGCGTCTAGCTGAACTCGAGGCAGCTTCTCCGTTTACCTGCTGCTGACAATGATCGTGCTGACGTGGCCAGGGAACACCCCCAGCAGCAGCACTAGCAGCAGCCATGTGTTTCGCTTTGATAGCCAGCAGTTTTTTCCGATTCTCTGCCAGAACATCCTGGGAAAAGGAAAGAGACGAATGGCTTGGGTAGATTGGCAGAAACAAAGTCGTAAGTGCAAGAGGTTGTGGATACGCCTTCCCAGCAGCAGCAGCAGCAGCACTAGCAGCAGCAGCACTAGCAGCAGCAGCAGCAGCAACACCGACAAGACTGATTAGAGCTACAGAACATGGACAGCTACAGTCTACACGCACTTGAACGACAGCTGTCCGCTGGCGCTGGCTCTCCGCCTTGATCGCCGCGATTCCCCGCCGGATCTCCGCGTTCCGCACCGCCGCGGACACGCCATCCGCGGGAGCAGCGGGCGCAGCTGATACCACCATCATAGCTTCCCCCATCTCCGCATCTTGCGCCGCCACGTGCGCTGCAGACCCGTCCGCGTGTGGAGGTCCACGTGGCGCAGCAGCAGCTAGGAGGTCTAGGTCCAGGCGTCGCGCGGTGGGCGGCGGCGGGTCCGCCATTGTAACGAGATGACTTTTGAGTCAGACTCAAAAGTCACCGTGTGGTGTAGCAGCTAGGAGGTCTCGGTCCAGGCGTCGAGCGGTGGGCGGCGGTCCGCCATGACCGCAGCCGCTACAGATTAGGAAGGGTTGTGTTCCAGTTTGTCGCCACGTGTTCCGGGAACTAGATAGGTTTCAAATGTGTTTTGGAGTCAACGTTTCTAGTTTCGCCGGTTACCAGTTTCAGGAGAAGCCCAACAGCTCTACAACCAACCCAACCCAACCGAAACCGCAACTCGGATTGTAGTTTTCGCAGTGGTGCTGTTCGCCAGCACCAATGTATCCAAAAACGGGGGGATAACGACGGGATCAGGAAGGTGGGTCTCGCCTTCCTGATCCCGTCAGTTAGAGTTCATTAACCTCCGTCAGCTTGGTCAGCCCGTGAAAAAAGTGCCGAGCCTCACCAACTGTCCAAACCAACAAACAAAGTGGGCGTCTGGCGAACGCCCACTTTTGTGCACCAATTCTAACGATTTGACGGCATCGGGAAGCGGTGACGAATCTTCGTCCCCAGGCAAAATGACATTCCCTAGCCATGCCCCCGTCATGCCGCATTTTTCAAAGCACAGCGGTGGCACAGCCCACGCATTGCTGTTCAGAGGGGAAAGTGGGGGTGGACCTTCCCGATGCGGTTGCGAAATTTCGTCTTTCGGGGGCGCGTAGTTTCTCGGGCGGCATTTCGCCCAAACCTAGGAGGAGGGTTCCGCCCCCGTTTCCATGTGCGGTCGCGATGCTGATGCCATCGGCGATGTTCGCCACGACCACGCTATAGACAAGGGGCGGGGGATGGGCGAGGGCTCTAGAAGGTGCAAAGGAAGCTGCAAATTACGTCCGGGGGGGCTCGCCCTCGACTGAAATTTCACCAATGGGATCAGGAAGGGGGTGAAGGGGATCTAGCGCCTGCCTCCCCCCTTCCTTCAGGGGCAAATTTTTTTCATGAAGGGGATGAACCCCCGAAATTAGTGGTCTGCACGGGGGAGAGGCGAGGGAAGGGATGGGATTTCTAGCTGGCAGGGCAGGAAACTGCCATGCGCATTCCGGATCCCCCGCCAATCCCTTTGATGGCCCAGAAATGTGGGTGTTCGCCACGACAGCGAGCCCACCGAGGTTCGGAGGGGATCTTCAGGCTCGACAGGATTTGTCGGTCTGACCGGCCCTAAAACCCTGATTTCAGCCCTTTTCGAAGGTGCAGGGCGGATTCCGGATCCCCCGCCCATCCCTTTGGAGGCCCAGCAAAGGCGTGGCGAACAGGGCCATCGTTTCTTGTTGAAGAAACGATTTGCTGGCGAACAGCACCACTGTGATCCGTTCGCATTGTTGTTAGGCATGTTCGAGGCCGCGAAAGATTCGTTGACATGTCATGAGCAGCCTGACAATGGTTTGCCTGAACATCATGCAATAATCTGATAACTACAGTAACTCAATTGAGCCAAACTATCTTTGGGCTGCGTAAAGGATGATACGGTAAGAAATGAAATGCTGAAGACTAACACAGAAGCTCAACACAGACTGCTCCTAATTCTGCCCGCTGCTTCTACGCCTGCTGCTGCGCCCGAGCCTGAGCCTCCTCCCTCCCCCTCTGCTACTGCGCTGCCTACAGCTCTGCTCACTCATACTCTGGCCACTCAAACCTAGGACTACCTCTCTTTCTTCTCCTCCTGCTCCTGCTCCTTCTCCCCCTTCTGCTGCCCCTCTGCCTGGCCCTCCTTCCTCCCCTTCTGCTGCTTCTCTGCCTTGCATGTCGCTAAAGCACCCTTCATTCTCCACAAGTCCAGCTGAAACGCACCCACTATCATGCTTCTCGTGAGCCGGGGAGGTGTGTAGAGCCCAGGTGCCAGAGAAGACGGGGAAAGGAAAGGCGTGGCTCGGGGTATGAACCTGTTGCTGCTGGTGCTGGAGGCGGTGGTGAGCGGTGGAAGGCGGTTGACTTCGGTGCCATTGTGGAAGAGAATGAGGGTTGGAAGGTGAGAGGAGAACACTGGGAGGGAAAGAGGGTGGAGGAGAGAGGGAGGGAGAAAGGGAGAGGGGATGAAACTGGGTTTCGGAGAGGATACCATGAAAGCACTGGCCTAAGCTTGTGAGTGAAGAAGTGTTTTGAGACGTCTCGAAACGCTTCTTCAAACACGTGGGTTTCGGCAAGGATACCATGAAACCACTGGCCTGAGCTTGTGAGTGCATCTGTGCTGTTAAGCTTCATTCAAAAACATACAAATCGACTGTTGGGAAGACTCACTATGCGAACAAATAATAACGGCACGTACAGCCAGCAACAATGGGTAATATTTTCGTAAGGGAGTTGAGAGACATTAAAATTGTCCAAGTGGATGAGCATGATAATGAACCTACTGCTGAGCATGATAATGAACCTACTGCTGGGGAATGAATAACGAAGGGAATGATTAACAAAAGGCACTCACTGAGAGTATCGATGGAGAACCTCTCGGCCACATCAGGGGATCGAGAGACACCCAAACAGCCAGAGAAGACAGGTGTACGCAAGGGGCCGCAAGGCAAGAGTATACAAGAGAAGCACATAAGTGAAGCAGATAGGTGAGAGCACTCACTGCTGGTATCGATGGAGAATCTTTCGGCCACGTCAGGGAATTGAGAGACACGTCCAGCTGGCAAAGGAGCCTCGAGTCAGGAATATAAGAGAGAGCACTCACTGCTGGTATCGATGGAGAATCTTTCGGCCACGTCGGGGAATTGAGAGACACGTCCAGCTGGCAAAGGAGCCTCGAGTCAGGAATATAAGAGAGAGCACTCACTGCTGGTATCGATGGAGAATCTTTCGGCCACGTCAGGGAATCGAGAGACATCCAAGCGGCCAAAGTGAATGTGGGGTCCTTGGCCATACCTTGTAGAAACAGGGAAGGAAGGGCAAAGGACGACACAGTTCTCCCTTCTGAGAAATCTCAAAAAATACATCAGGGAATTGAGAGACATCCAAACGGCCGAAGTGAATGTGGGGCCCTTGGCTGTACCTTGGGGAAACAGGTAAGAGGGGGGGGGGAGTGGGGCTGAAACGACAGAATTTCCACTTTGAAAATTCTCAAAATCCATAACAATGAATCGAGAGACATCCAACCAACCCAAGTGAATGTGGGGCCCTTGGCCGTACCTTGGGGAAATGTGTCGTGTGCCATGGTAACGAGGTGACTTTTGAGTCGACTCAAAAGTCACCTCAACCCAAGTGAATGTGGGGCCCTTGGCCGTACCTTGGGGAAATGTGTCGTATGCCATGGTAACGAGGTGACTTTTGAGTCGACTCAAAAGTCACCTCAACCCAAGTGAATGTGGGGCCCTTGGCCGTACCTTGGGGAAACAGGTAGGGAAGGGCAAAGGAAGACGCTTGGGCGTTGAAGCTATGAACTGGGCTAGGGGGCTTACTGGTGGCAAAAGGGGGAAAATCAGAGACTTGTGGCTGAAATCAAGAGTCAGAATAACTTACTCATCAGTCATGACTTCGGGGAGAGGGGCAAGAGGGTGAGGGGGTGAGCAGGCGTGGGAGCTAGGGGAGAGGCATGGTTGGCAATGTCAACGAAGAGAGACATGTGCTGATGGCAGGGGGGAGACCAGCTCGCATAGAACATGACTTTTGAGGCGCCTCATAAGGCAGGTGTAGGGGCTTACTGGTTGGCAATGTCAACAAAGAGAGACATGTGCTGGTGGCATGGGGGGGAGGGGGGTTGAGTCGACTCAAATCTCAACTCAAAAGTCAAGTGAAACCTACCCGTGGGCAGAGGGTGAGGGCATGAGGGGGCTTACTGGTTGGCAATGTCAACAAAGAGAGACATGTGCTGATGGCAGGGGGGAGACCAGCTGGCATAGAACATGACCAGGCATGGCACGTTGGATGCTGGCGTGGCAGTTTCCACTGGCGCTACTAGCTCCAGCTGGCGCGGGATCATCTCAAGAAAGGCATCGGATGCTGACGTGGCAACACAAGTAGGGGGGTGGTGGAGAGGGGTCAGTGGGTGAATGAGAAAGGGAAGTGTGTGTGAGTGTGTGCGCCTCTGTGTGTGTTTCTACCAGTGTCTGTGTGCATGTGAGTATGGGTGAGGGGAAAGTGCCTCTGCGTGTGCGTGCACGCGCGCGCGTGCGCATGACGTTTGTGTGTACGTGCGTGCAACGTGTATGCGCGTGCATGCTTGTGTGCGTTTCTCCACGGACTGACCTGATGGGGTTGCTGGTGACCGCTGGGGGCAAAGAAGAAAGATCACTGCACAAACAGGTGATTGAAAAAAAGGGGACAGGCGGGGGAGGCGTGGATGAAAGGTGAAAATAAGAGTGTTCCATTGTGCGCAAGCGAAAGAGGGAGAAAGGCAGAGGAAAGAAGGGATGTGGAAAAGGCAGACAGGAAAGTGAGAATGACAAGAATAGAGTTCCAGGCGCATGCTGAAGGGCGGAAGCAAGAGGGAAGGTAAAATGCTTATACACATGCACAAATGACACACATGAAACACAGGAGATCAACAAGAATCTCGAGTCGACTCTGAAGTCATCGTGTTTGCACACTCACACATGAACGCAGAGAGGTACCAGGCACAAGAGAACGACGAGAATTGTCTGCAGCAAGAAATGTCTCAAAACACTCACTCGTAAATGCAAGGAGGTACCAGACACATATGCGGGGATCCACAGCCCATAAGAGAGCGACGAGAATCATCTGCAGCATTGACAGCAGGCAATGGAAGAGACACAAGTATTTATAAAACAGAAAAACACAGGGGGAGCTGGATATGATTGAGATGACTTGAATATTTGAGATCCTCAGAGCAACAGACAGGAGACAAGCATTAGCAAAAGGCAGGGAAACGCGCATCTCCAAAATGATTGCAAGGGAAGCAAGGCAAGGAACACGTTCTTGTTTGCAGTTACCCTGAGCGGCAGGGAAGGCAAGGAAGGCGTGGAGAGACGTGAGGGAGAAGGGAAGGACTTATGAGACACCCCAGATGGGAAGGACTTATGAGACACCCCAGATGGGAAGGACTTATGAGACACCCCAGATGGGAAGGACTTATGAGACACCCCAGATGGGAAGGACTTATGAGACACCCCAGATGGGAAGGACTTATGAGACACCCCAGATGGGAAGGACTTATGAGACACCCCAGATGGGAAGGACTTATGAGACACCCCAGATGGGAAGGACTTATGAGACACCCCAGATGGGAAGGACTTATGAGACACCCCAGATGGGAAGGACTTATGAGACACCCCAGATGGGAAGGACTTATGAGACACCCCAGATGGGAAGGACTTATGAGACACCCCAGATGGGAAGGACTTATGAGACACCCCAGATGGGAAGGACTTATGAGACACCCCAGATGGGAAGGACTTATGAGACACCCCAGATGGGAAGGACTTATGAGACACCCCAGATGGGAAGGACTTATGAGACACCCCAGATGGGAAGGACTTATGAGACACCCCAGATGGGAAGGACTTATGAGACACCCCAGATGGGAAGGACTTATGAGACACCCCAGATGGGAAGGACTTATGAGACACCCCAGATGGGAAGGACTTATGAGACACCCCAGATGGGAAGGACTTATGAGACACCCCAGATGGGAAGGCGAGAAGGGAAATCGATAACGGAAGGCGAAGCTACGTGCCTTTGTGTTGAACATGATGGAAGAAAACGCTGCTTCGGCTGTGTTGGCTCGCCATAACTGCGCTCACATCACATGGCCATGCCATGACATACCATGCCATGTCATGCCATGCCATGCCATGCCATGCCATGTCATACAGAGTAAAGCATGCCATAAGCAGCAAACAAGTGCATTTTGGGGCTTAGACAAAGTGCTGCTGTTGCTGATAGGCACTGTGCGAAGAACTCGTTGCTGCTGCTGATAGTGCACTTTCTGTGTTGTACAAAAACGACCAAAGAGACAATCAACGTTTAGAACATCTTCAGAGACGCAGTGCTGCTGCGTAAAGGCGTTAACGCTGACAACACACCTTGTACGAGGCACTAAATAGGCATTAGAGGGAATTCAACGTTTAAAAAAACCTTCAGAGACGCAGTGCTGCTGCTTATAGGCGTTACCGCTGATAACACACCTTGTACGAGGCGCTGAGGAGAAGGCCAAAGAGAACATGCCGCTCCTGCAATGAATGGACCAGTTTGGAGGGGAGGAGACGAGAAAGGGAATGCGAGTGACGGCTGTGAGAGAGATTAGAGGTGGAAAGGGAGAGAAAGGGAGGTTGTCAGCATTCGTAAACAAAAAACTTGCCCTATTTGAGTAACCAAAGGCACCCATTCAAATCACCGAACATACCCATTTGTAGAGCACTGCAAGGTCTCTTGAGAACGAGCCTCCGGAGACGACGGCGATCCGCACCGGGAGAACGGAGAGCACGGCGAGGAGATTAACTACGTAGTACGGCGATAAGTACGTGCTCAGCCGGCTAGTAGGTCCCGAATTCGCCGCTCCTTCCGCCGGATTTTCCGGCCGCACATCCATGGACAGATATAAACGAGATAATTCTGATTCTGTAAAATTGCCCACAGTGGGGTTGAGAAAATATTCCGGTGAACCAGCACAAAGGTATTGCTGAATCAGAGCCAAGGATTGGGTGAATGTTACGCGAATCAACGGCTGGATATCCACGCGTCAAAGCAAGGACCACGCGTCAGGGTGAACGGCGACAACGCTGCGTTGCAAGCTGCTTGATCGTATTACCGTTACCACTCGTATCGCTGTGCTATTCTTCTGTGTCAGGCCGCGCTATAACGCGACGCGTAAGTCGACCGTTGTCGAGATGGTACGGTGTGGAATCAAGTGTTGTATCTGGGACGCAGGTGAAGAGACGGTTTAGTAAGTGACGGAAACGAAAAGCAGCGGTACAGTACGGTGGTAAAATGTTCGGCCCTTCATTCTCCATCCTGGCTAACCTGATGCAGCCTGTCCACCCCAGAATGTGAATCTGAGCGCGCTAAGGGCGCATGCGATGCCCGATACTGTTCGGTGCTGCAGACCAAACAAGACAAATTGTCTGAATGGGAACCCTACATTGGCTTCCAGGAAATAAATTCTTTTGCACAGCCAAACAACATGGATATGTGGATATGCTATAGATTCTCTGTGTCTCATATCCAATAGAGACACCCAAACAACATGGATATGAAGTGACTCGCTCAGCCAGTACTCCTTTTGAAGCTAGTATACTAGGAGTGAATGGATGCATAATGCATTCAGCATCCTTTATGTAGTGTACCATGATTGTAGTGTGCCATGAGATTAACCTTGAATGGTGCACTTTCAAACCACCTCCAGTAAATGGACTGGTCCAGTGTGGTTTTAGGTGATAACGGTAGGTGCAGTACGGCCAGTATATTCCTCAATCTTGGACACCTTGATAGCCACATCAACCTGATGTGGAGTAGGGAGAATAGAATCAGGGTGGATAGAAGATAGGATGGATTACATACCGCAAAAGTTACCAGGGTGAACGAAGAAACAGGAAGGCATGGATGAATGCTAGAAAACAGACAGGCCACGTTTCAAACTGTTCATATAAATGCACACACATCAGCCAAGTCACCCATATAGAACTCAGCCATATCACCCGACTTGGAACAAGCAAACAAAACAAACAAACGAATGAACTCACCAGGGGAGCAAGCACATCAGCCGGATTGCCATCAATCTTGGAGCTATCGGCCACGTATTGCTCAATGTACACACGGATGGTCGCCCCCACTGACCCCGTGCCCGACAGGCGGAAGATCTGCGGGGAAGAGGAGGCAAGTATTCATGGTTGGGAAACAAGACAACACAGAAAGATAAATCTGGATCCAATCACCAGCCTCGGAGCTAATGGTTACTCCCACTGGTCCCATACCCGACATGAGGAAGATCTGAAGGGAGTGGGGGGGGGAGGGGAGGGGGTATGGATCAAGGAAAAGAAAGAAAAAAACATATATAGAAAGCATGAAAATAAACACGTAGCTTTTGAGCACACTGATGTGGATTAAACGAAGGAACGAGGCGTTACCAGTCTGGAGCCATCAGCGAAGAAGAACCGGATCCCCTGGTGGCTGGACACGGAACCATCCACGGGGTCCTTGTACTCAAACTCGTCCCCCCTCACCACGTCCGCTGCTGCGCTGTTCGCTGCCTTCACAGCCCTGTTGAAAAAGAGGGTCGGGGTCCATGTGAGTGGAGGAGTGGCAGCGACAGTGGAAGAGTGAGACAGGCTAGCGACACAGAGCCATCCACGGGGTCCTTGTACTCCAACTCGTCCCCCCTCACCACGTGCGCTGCTGCACTGTTGGCTGCCTTCACAGCCCTGGAGTAGCGGGGTTCGAAATGAGGTGGAAGAGAGTAGTGAGACGGGCAAGCAAGCAAGACAGAGCCACCCACGGACTTCTGAGGCGCGTCAAAAGACACGGAGCCATCCACAGGTCCCTTGTACTCAAACTCGCCGCCCCTCACCACGCCTGCTGCTGCACTGTTGGCCGCCTTCGCAGCCCTGGCCCCTGTTAAGGAAGCGGACACAAAGGGGGAGGGAAGGAGAGAAACAAGGGAGTAGTGAGAGATGCATGAGACACAGAGCCATCCACGGGGTCCTTCTACTCAAACTCGTCTCCCCTCACCACGTCCGCTGCTGTGCTTTTGGCTGCCTTCACAGCCCATGCAACACGGAGGGGTGAAAATGAGTGCACCAATGCAGCAGGAAACAACGGAATCGAGTGAGATATTGACGGGAAACAGAACCAGAGGACGTTCGTTTGCTATGCTACCAGAAAACGCCAGAACACGATATTGTATGAATGCACGTGCCAGTTATCATGCGCGTTTTTGATTGAAAAGCTCCGTAATCATGGGGTTAAGATGATATGAGCTCATGAGCTAGGAACGCACGTGTTGAGTGCAGGGATGTCTGCTTGGTTGGCGACAAGATTAGCCATGAGCTTCTTTGCACCCTCTGCATCCACTCCCTGCCATCATGACATGGCATTGGGGGATAACATGGAGCGGTGATAAGTGATCAAAACGGGAGTTTGCATAACAAGAGTGTGGGTGAAATGGGGTTGACAGACACGGACGAAGGAAGGGAAATAGACGCAGAGTAGGTGCACCTATCAGCCAGGCAGGCGAGAACAGACATGTGGGTGGCTTCGCTGGGGAGTTATCATTGTGCTCCGCTGGAAAGACTCCTATCTTACATGCCGTCCTTCTCCCTGATGTGGACAACAGATATGGGTTTCACTAGGCCCAGTGCTGCCTTACAGTCTCGAGTTGACTTTTGAGTCGACTCAAAAGTCAACTCGATATGGGTTTCACCAGGCCCAGTGCTGCCTTACAGTCTCTTCCACGGTCACGGACTGCCCTCTTCAGGCACCAATCCACAGGTCAAGGGTTTCGGGTGATTGAAGTAGTGTTTTGAGACGTCTCAAAGCACTACTTCAATCACAGTGCTGCCTTACCGTCTCTTCCACGGTCACGGACTGCCCTCTTCAGGCAGCGATTCACAGGTCAAGGGTTTCGGTTCCACAGCATCGCATGCAGTCGAAGGTCAAGGAGCAGGGCTCAGTCACAGAGTCTATACCTCATAGTCATATCGGGTGTAGAAGTGCCGGCCGTATTTGGGCCAGTGCTGCCTCACAATCTCCTCCACCGTCACCAGCTGCCCTTCACTGCTGCCGCTGTCCCTGTTGGCCAGGATGGAGAACCGCTCACAGCTTTTCACCGCACCTCACCGCATCTCACCTCATAGTCGTATCGGGTGTAGAAGTGCCGGCCATACTTGGCCCAGTGCTGTCTCACAATCTCCTCCACCGTCACCAGCTGCCCCTCACTGCTGCCACTGTTCCTGTTGGCCAGGATGGAGAGCCAGGCCAGAATAGCCCACATGCCGTCCTTCTCCCTGATGTGGTCCGACCCTGGGTGAGCACAGAGCAACGCACAGCAAACCAATGCACAGCACAGTGGGGGTTACAGGAGGTTCAAAGTGAGGGGGAAGGGGGAGAATAATCAGCACCAGCTGCCCTTCCCTGCTGCCTTGGTTCCGATTCGCCAGGATAGAGAGGCACACTAGAATCGCCCACATGCCGTCCTTCTATATGATATGGTCGGATCCTGGAGGTATAACATCAGGCGAAAAGGGGAGTCATAGATCGAGGATTGCACTCCCAGGAATTACGACGTTCACATCCCCAATCAGCATTCCTGGCTCACGAGTGGCACATGAGGATAAGTCATGACAGGGCAAATGAAATCCCTCGTTCTGCCAGATCAGGCATGCCGAATCTTCCTGGTGAAGCTCTCTTCCGAATCACATGACCAAACCTCACCTGTGCCAAAGCTCTCTTCACCGCACACAGAGCACATGCCCGCATCCATGAGGTTGCCAAAGAACTTCCACCCGGTCGGCACCTGAAATCACAGAAGCAAACAGGGCAAGTACACAAGATGGCTCTCCCAAAACTTGAATCCCAGCTCCTTGGGCGTGCTCCTGGCCACGCCCTTGAAGTACACGAGGATACTTCCAAAGCAACGGAGAGGAGTCCAGCAAAGAGCATCTACCTACCTCAAAGAACTTGAGACCAAGCTCCTTGGCCACGACATCCAGAGCAGCGGACGTGGGCATGCTCCTGGCCACGCCCTTGAGCCCGCCCTTGAAGTACACGAGGAGACTTACAGAGGGATGGAGAGGAGTGCAGAGGCGTGGAGTGCAAGAAATAACCTACCTCAAAGAACTTGAGACCGAGCTCCTTGGCGACAACATCCAGAGCAGTGGACGTGGGCATGCTCCTGGCCACGCCCTTGAGCCCGCCCTTGAAGTCGGGGATGCTGGCCTCCTGGCTACTTACAGAGCGGTGGAGAGGAGTGCAAAGGGATCCCTACCTCAAAGAACTTGAGACCGAGTTCCTTGGCGACAACATCGAGAGCCGCAGACGTGGGCATGCTCCTGGCCACGCCCTTGAGCCCGCCCTTGAAGTAGGGGATGCTGGCCTCCGCGTTGGCTGCTATGATAGCCACCGAGTCAGACGGCGTCACGAAGAACCTGGCAGGACAGGGCAGACGAAAGCAGCAATGACGGTATTGGGATGAGTTCAAGGCAATGCACCAGTTTTTAACTTATCCGCCAGCTATTGAATCAGGGGATGTTGGCCAGGGCATTGGCTGGTATGATAGCATAGCAACCGAGTCAGAGGGCGCCACAAAGAACATGTTGAGGCTGGTAAGCATCAAGGGGAATGGATGCACGGAACCAAGACGTCTCCCAGGCAATGCACCAGCTTTGACTCTGGCCAGGCCACTGCGTTGGCTGCTATGATGGCCACCGAGGAGGACCCCAAGCACCACACCGTTACATACCTTTTTCCCAGAACCATGTTGCGATCAGCATCGCCGTCACAGGCAGCGCCGAATTCAGGCGGCTCCTGAGCGGGCTGGTGCTTGCCCAGCCCCATGGCCTCCACCAGGTCATGCGCGTAGGTCAGGTTGGGGTCGGGATGGCCGCCTCCGAAGTCCTCCTGAAAGAAGGGATGCAGCGGTGGGGAGAGGAGAACGGGAGGGGGAGGTGGGGTGATATTGGTGCTTGCCCAGCCCCATGGCCTCCACCAGGTCATGCGCGTACGTCAGGTCGGGTCGGGGTGCCCACCACTGAAGTCCTCCTGACATAGGGAAGATGCGAGACGACGGGAAATAGAGATAGAGTTATGATATGGGAGTGTGAGGGCATATGTGCTTGCCCAGCCCCGTTGCCTCCACCAGGTCATGTGCATATGCCAGGTTGGGGTCGGGGTGGCCGCCACTAAAGTCCTCCTGCCGTAGGGAAGAAGAGTCATGACAGGGGTGGCTACTAAAAAGAATCTTTCTACTAAGGAGGGAGGACGGGAGTGCGATTGTCAGGCAGCGGGTGGGATTGTGGAACTGCGGGTGAGAGTTTCAAGCAGAATGCAGGAGTGCGGAGCAAAATGTGGGATCATACAGCAAGAAGCAGGACGTACCTTTGGCACGCAGTTGACGAGGGACGAGGCTGGCACTCCCAGCTCACGCACAAACAGCTTCTCCGCGTATGCTCCCGCCACGCCGTGCAGCCCGTCCAACCTGCGAGATGCAAGAAGCAATAAAAGCCGAAGAGAAACAATGGCTCGTGAGTTGACTTAGAAAAGATTCGCCACGTATGCTCCCGCCACGCCATGCAGCCCATCCAACCTGCGAGAAGCAGGGAAACAGTAAACAATACGAGTTCGGGTATCAGGGGAATAGAATGATGTCACCGTTTCGTCCCATGAAGTAACATGAAAGCATGCAAGTGCCATCAGTTCAATTCAAGATCCTTTTGCTCGTCTTCTTTTGATGCTTACAAACGTCCCTAAGCAATTTCTGCTTTAGAAGGCAAAGACAATACAAGACAAAAACATGGCTTGCCAGGGCGTAGAGACGTACAAGAATGCGAACTTGGGGTTCTTGAGGAGCCCCCGGATGGCATCAAAGTCGAAGATGGTCCTGCGGCAGCAGCAGTAGCAACGGCAGTGTGAGGCGAATGTCATCACGTTAGGAGGGAAGGAAAGCACTGCGTTGTGAATGGAACGAACAAAGTTCTGTACCAATGGAAAAAAACAAATCCCAGGATTGATTGAAAGGATGCAAGCTAACGACGAAGGGGACGACAGAAGGGGGAAACGAGAACAGAGGACTGATGTCATCATTCTCATGTTGTCTTCAGCAAGTTTCTTTGGTTCATTATTGAAGAGGAAGGAAGAAAAGAAAAAGAAAAACAAGACTTATTATATGGTAGTAGCGACTGACTTCATGAGCTTGATGTAGTCCTCAGCAGAATCGAACACCTCCACCTCGAACTTGCCATTTGGACCATCAAAGGACTGCAGGCCAATGGTGCTGATGTCCACCTGCAATGGCCACGAGAGAGGCAAGAGAAGAATGCAGGAAGCGCATAAGGTACAAAGCACAGTGGAGTCGAACACCTCCACCTCGAACTTGCCATTCAGACCATCAAAGGACTGCAGGCCATTCAGACTCCCCGATGGTGCTGATGTCCACCTGCCGCGGGAAGCCAGGAATGCATAAGGAGGGAGCACCAGGAGGAATTCAGCATGCCTTGTGTTCACAATGCTTCTATTTCAGTCAGACAAAGCCGTTGCAGTCTTCATGGGGTGTCATTGAGGGGGACTCACGAACGTACCTCGGGAAGGCCTTCAGCGATTTTGAGCTCGGAGACGGTCGTGGTGTGCTGGTAGATCTGGTTGGTCGGGCCTTCAGGAGGCGAGCCTACGCTCCCACACCTGTACTTTAGTCCCAAGACTTCATGGGGAATGTCTAATGGAACCTCAATAACGTACCTCGGGTAGCCCTTCAGCGATCTTGAGCTCGGAGACGGTTGTGGCGTGCTGGTAGATCTGGTTGGTCTGGCCTAGGCGAGCTGGGCCTACGCGAGCTGGGCCTACGCGAGCTGGGCCTACGCGAGCTGGGCCTTCGCGAGCTGGGCCTTCGCGAGCTGGGCCTTCGCGAGCTGGGCCTTCGCGAGCTGGGCCTACGCGAGCTGGGCCTTCGCGAGCTGGGCCTTCGCGAGCTGGGCCTTCGCGAGCTGGGCCTACGCTCGCATGCATGTACATAAAGCCCCAGACTTCATGGTGGGTCATTGAAGGAGGCTAACTAAAGTACCTCGGGCAGCCCTTCAGCGATCTTGAGCTCGGAGATGGTAGTGGTGTGCTGGTAGATCTGGTTGGTCAGGCCTTCGGGAGCCGGCCCTCCGTTCTCGCAGTTGTACTTGATGCCAAAGTCCTCAAGCGGCCCACCGGGGTTGTGGCTCGCTGTGAGGATGAACGCTCCGTACGCCTTGTCCCCCTGTTTCAGGCAGCCGGGTGACAGGAGGTAGTGCTGTCAGGCATAACCAATCACTCCCAGCTCACGAAAAAATATATAGGCTTGCAGAGGTTTCTCGACCGGAATCTAGAATTCCAATCTGATAGTGGAATAAGAATGCCATATATTTACCTGGATGCCGACGCGATCGCGGATGATTCCAGACACAGCTGGCGTGGAGAGGAGACTGTCCTGACCCACCCAGATCCGGCGAACTCCATTACCGGCTGCGAGCTTGGCGATGATCTGTCATGCATTCAAGGCGTCGACAAAGAATCACGTCGTCATGGACTCAAGTAGTCACGAATTCGAGTCATTCTGAATTCGAGTCATAATAACATGAAGCCATCATGGATTCAAGTCGTCTAGATCCAGAGAAGTACAGTATACCAGCAGACCGGTCAGGAATTTGAAGGACACGAAAGGTACGCGAATGGATGTGATGGTCTGTAAGAGCGGAGTCCGGCGTTACCTGAACCGCGTCCTTCGAATAGTACCGACCGTCGCCGGAAACCACGAGAGTGCAGCCTGAACAGGAGAGGAAATAGATTGGATCATGTCAGAATCAGAAAAGCGGACATCTGATGTTTTCTAAAGGTTGAAGTAATCCAAAGAAGAAACGGAGATTTGGTCCCTAAGTCTGACAATCCATACGTCTGAGGGTTGGGAAAAGAGACTGACATCAGAAAGAGAATATAGATTGCATGTTTACCCTGAATCTTGTCAGCGGGAAGCGAATTGAAGGTTGCCTGGACGAAATTCGCCAGGTAATTCGGCTGTTGGAAGACCGTGACCTGGTAACACGACGAATGCAACCAGAATTTGCTTATAAGATGAAAATTCGTCGGGATTATCAGCTTGTTTTGCGTGAACAAAGCAAGAGCGCTACCTTCTTCCTCAGACCCGAGGTCCCAGGCTTTTGTCCCTCGTAAGGGGTAGTAGGCTGAGTGGAAATGGTAAACGCCATGACGCTTGGCAAGAAAGATCGTTGCAAGAAGAGAGGAAATCGGCGAAGGATGATGTCACAGATTCACAGGCCGCTGCTTGCCAACGTATTGGCTGGTTATGGCTGTCCTGCTAAAATGTTTTACTCGAGCCTACGAATCTGTGAATGATGGCGGAATGCTGTGAGTCTGAAGATGTGAATCTGTGAAATTGTGAATTCAGACTAAAGTGCAAATCTTAGCTTCTGGAATCTGGTCCTACAGTCTAGCTTGCTTGGTGATTGTCAGAGGTGGTGAAATTCGCGGTTTCTTGAGATGTCAGATGTGTTTGTGACGTCGATGTTTGGCTTGACGCCCACTCGACGGCTGCGATTGTAGTCGAGAGGATCATTCTTGCGCCGCGCGAGTCTGCTTTGGGTTTGGCCCATACAAGCACAGGAAGGGAGCACCGCCTGCCCTTGAACGCCACGTGGCTCGGCGTATCCTTCAACCGAAGTCCAGTGTGCTCCTTAGAATCACGTCTGTTGTGGAAACAGTGATTTTCTGAAGCAGCTGATGCTATGCTAATTGTTTACGATTGACTTCATAACTCTAAAAATAATGGAAACTGCGAACCGTTACGGACCGCGAATCAACAGGTGGAACCGTGAGCTGTATAAAGATTACCTGTGCAGCGAGCGAATGGTCGGCTACAAGGCTCCGACCAAACAAACCTTCACTGTTGCAGCGCAGGAAATTCCAATCATTTTCATGTCTCTATTCCACCACTTTCGTGATGCTCGCTGTAAATTTCGCGGCTGCGACAAGTCTGCGGCAACTGCGACAAGTTTGCAGCAAACTTGCACTGGGCATACCCACTCACCCACCTGCGTGAGCTGTCAGTCACCAGATTCCGTGTTACCGAATGTGCAAAACGTGTTGAACGAACTGACTCGCAAAAATCTGCGACGTATAGACGAGGAATTCCAGTAACATTACTTGAAGCGCGAACGTCCATAGTTTCGCCAAATTTGCCGCCACGCGAAGGCACCTCCCCTGCCTGACAGCCCGAAGCGCTGGCTTGGACAGGCTGGATTATTGTTGAGCAGCCAGCCACCCTAGGCTTTCAATTCAACAACCAAATTGCAAGCTTTCGGCAATGAGGGACATGTGGCAATGCCCTGCTGCATCCAGGTTTGGTGGAAATGCCTTCTGTTTACTGATTGATGTCGTCCGCAGTTTTAATGGCTCTCGATTTATGTACGCCCTCAGAGCACGATGCAGAGAGGATAATTCTACCTCCGCAGGTCACGCCACGCATTGCGCTGCAGCCGTGAGTTGCGGCGGAGATAACGATTGCTCTTACTATGGGACACAGGCGGAACTCCTCGTGCCGCGGGGAATTTCCTTTCTTCTCTCGTTACCGCAACGCTCTGAATTCTACTGTTCGGAGGAAACGCTGTAACGGTCGAATCCATCGGAGCCACTATGATAGCCTCGCAACCCTCCTCCTACTCGTCGTGTATTTCTCACCCACAGCACGTCGGCTCGGCGCCGCCGCGACGGCCGGCGCGGTATTGGTCTCAGATAAAAGCTCCCCTGGTTGCACCCTATCGCCGTCATCCGTGTCATGCCCCGAGGGATTTGCCGTGACGGACGGGGGCGAAGATGGCGCCTTCGTTCTGAACGGCCGTGCTTATATTGCGGACGCGGACCGTGGAAGCGCCGCTCTCGTCCTGAGTGCGTCAGACGGCGGTAGTAGCCCAAGTAGCGCGGAGGCCAGTGAGGGGAGATCCGCGGGTTCCGCATTCACTTCCGCCGCGCTCTCGCCTCCGCTCAGCGGTGGAGGCTCGGCGCTCTCGTTTTCGGCGCGCTTCACGTTTCAGCTGGAGGGGCAGAACGAGGCTGACGTGGCAACGGGGCTTGCGCTCGTCATCACTGGCGGACCCAACACCGCCGTCGGCCCGCCTAGGTGAGGCACAACCTCCCCCAGTCATCTCGCACAGGTGAGGTACAACCTTCCCCAAATGCTTCTTCCCCCTCGCTCACTCGTGTGTTAACCCCTATGAGACTACCCCTTCCCCTTCACCCCCTCCTCCCGCCCCCCCCCCCCCCCCCCCCCTTCCCGTTCCTCCTCCCCTTCCTTTCGTCCCCCATCCCCCACCTCCCTCCCCCAACCTTGCCGGCGACGGCAGGCCGCCTTCAATGCCAGCCTGGCAGTGGTGCTGAACGGCCGCCCAACCCTCGCCTCTCTCAATCCCCCTTTCCTTTCCCTCCCCCCTCCCCCCTTCGGCCCTCCCTATCTCCCCTCCCCCAGCCTTGCCGGCTATGGCGGCGCCGCCTTCAATGCCAGCCTGGCAGTGGTACTAAGCGGCCGCCCGCCCATCTCTGCCGGCGTGCTGCTGGGCGGCAAGACGGGCGGCGCTGGCAGATGGGCGGCTCTCAACCCCTCGTCCCATGACGCACCGCATGTAAGCTGAGAGTGTGGGGAACAGAGGGAGGTTAACACCCCATGTAAGTTGGGCGTGGAGGGAGGGAGGGAGGGATGGGCTCAACCCATGTGCCTGGGTTGTGCCCACAGAACCCTAAGGTCTAAGGGTTCTGTGGGCCTGGGTGGACTATGGCGACTCCCTCCCTCGCACCCCATCCTTTTACTCTCTCAATCCCTTCCCCCACGCTGCCCCTCCGCCCCCTTCATCCCCATTCCCCTTCCCTCTCCTTCCCCACTACCTCTTCCCCTTAGCTCCTAGTCCCCGGGGTGCAGCAGCACGCCTGGGTGGACTACGACGCCTCCCACTCCTCCCTTGTTCCCACTATACCCATTCCTTACCCCATACTGTCTGTTCCTCTTCTACCCCCACTCTCTTCCCCCCCCCCAGCTCCTGGTCCCGGGGGTGCAGCAGCACGCCTGGGTGGACTACGACACCTCCCTCGCCTCCCTCCGCCTCTTCCTCGGCGGCTCCTCCCCCACCAAGCCTGCAGCTCCGGTGCTCTCCGAGCCTGTCGACCTGGCTCGGGCGCTTGGCTTGGCACCAGATGGCAGCTGCGCGGGCGGCGGGGGCGAGGTGGCGGTGGGCGGCGGTGGTTGTCTGTTTGTGGGGTTCACGGGAGGGACTGAAGCAACGGATGAAGCTGAGATGGCTGCAGCTGGGATTGCAGAGGGAGTGGCCAGTAGAAAGAAAACAATGCAAGTTATAATTCGGTCTTTCACTTTTCAATTTCACACCACTGCTGTTGTTCCTGCCTCTGATGCTGCTGCTGCCACAGCTGAAACCACCAGCCTGGCAGGCTTGACCGAACCAACAAGCTCGAGAGCACCGAACGTGTTCCTCGCTTCGGCCAACAGCGGCAGTGCAACACTAGCTTCCTTTGGAGCCACAGACCCCTCTGCTGCTGGTGGCGGCCTCTTCTCCATCGCCTCTCTTGATGCTGCTTCCGGCACTGCTGCTGCCACTGCCACAGCTGCTTCTGACCCTCCCCCCTGCAACGTCACTGCCACCAGCATTTTCTGCGTTGGCTTCTCCTCTTCCTCCTCTGCTTCTCCCGGTCTCTACTCGCCCTTCTTCGTCCTCTCTGGGGATGCTCAGGTCGGGCCCGGACCGAACTTCCCCATCTGGCTCGACACAACCACCAATGCTGCCGGCTGTGCCTTCTCCATCCCGAGCCTCAGCCTCAGCCTTGGCAGTGGTCCGGTGGCGTTTGAGGCGGCGTTTTCGTTCTCGTTTGCAGCGAGTGCGGATTACAACAGCTGGGGCAGTCGAGGGCTGGCCTTTGTGCTCACTGCCGGGGAGAAGACCGCCTGTGGCCGCAGCTCCGCCAGGTGAGAAGCGGTGGGGAGGGATTGGGTGTGGTAGCACTGATCCGTGTCACAGCTCCCAGCACGTCTCTCCAATTGCCCCGACTCTTCCCTCTGCTGCCACGTTCCTATTCCCTCTGATTCCCTTCTTCCGCCCCCTCTTCCCATCCACCCCCCCCTTCCCCCCCCCCCCACCCCCCTTCCCCCTCTTCCAACCAGCAACATTGGCTATGGAGCAGCCCCCAACGCGCCCTTTGCTGGGAGCGTGGCATTGGAGTAGAGAGTGCGGCCCATCAACAGGACCCTCAATCCTGCCCCTTGCTGCTCTCCCTTTACCCACCAGCAACATCGGGTATGGATCGGCCCCCAACGCGTCCTTTGCAAAGAGCATAGCGGTGGAGCTGAGGGCTCGGCCGACGGCGTGTGTGGCGGTGGTGGTGGGCGGGCTGGTGGCCGGCGACAACTGTGCCGACTCCGATGCGATGGCGCTGCTGCCGCCTGAACAGGTGGGATCCTCTCAGTAAGTGCCTGTTCAGGTAACGCCTGGTTGGCCGTGCATGCTCAGTTGAAGGCTGCTCGGGTGACACATTCTGGGGTAAGGCCATAGTAAATGTAAATCATAAGAATAGTAAATGTAAAACTAAACTCTCTCCTTCCCCACCAATAGTAAACTAATCAAACAACTGATTAGTTTCACACCAACCCCCACATCCCCCACATCCCCCACTTCCCCACATCCCCCACTTCCCCACATCCCCCACTCCTCCACTACCTCACCCTCCCCCACTACCCCAGGCGTTCACGCTGAACGAGCCGCAGCACATGTGGGTGAGTTACGACGGCAGCAGCGGCGTGCTGCAGGTGTTTGTCTCCCCAGGCGCGGCCACCAAGCCCACCGCACCTGTGTTGGTGGCGCCCATCGATGTGGCGGCGGTTCTGGGAGGCACGGCGGGGCTGTCGGTGGGCTTCACAGGCGCGTCGTGGTGGACGTGGGTGGACGACCTGGAAGACCACATCATCCACTCCCTGTCTTTTGAAGCTGGTACGATATGTATTGTACATATAATGGGGTGGGGGAGGAAGGGAGAAGGGGAGGACGTGGGTGGACGACCTTGAAGACCACCTCATCCACTCCCTCTCCTTCCAAGCTGTTATTATTGTCATTGTCATTATTATTGTTATGCTATTATTATTATTATTATTGTTATTATTGTTATTACTATTGTTATTATTATTATATTTATTATTATTATATTTATTATTATTATTATTATGACGAGGGACTGCCTTGGAGGAAGGTGCACGTATGGGACCATTTTGTGGGGCTTCCTCATCCATGTTGTCTTCGCGTTTGTTTACCATCTGTTTGGTTCTCAGTGCGAACTCTATTATTTGTTTACCAAAGCGCCTCAACATTAGTCTCTTATTTGTGTCGCTGTTCTGGTAATCAGTGGGAAGGTGACTGTGGAATAAACTTCCCCCTCTACTTCCTTCCTATATGCCCTCTCCGCAGTCACTCCCGGGTCCCAGCAGTCACTTCCGCCCTCCCCTGCGCCCACCACGTGCCACCTCGCCCCCTCCAACACGCGTCTCACCTGTTTGGGCTTTGCGGGCCGCTCAGCCTTCCGCCTAAACGGCTATGCCCACGTGGGGCCCGCCCCCTCCTTCCCCCTCGTCCTCGACACCGGCGGCACCGCTGGCAGTGCGCTCACCCTCGCTGACCTGGCGCTCTCTCTGGATTCGTCCACGTCAGCAGCAACAGCAGGGGGAGGAACAGGAAAAACAGCAGCAACAGCAGCAGGAAAAACATCAGGAGATACAGCAACAGCAGCAGTGGCGTTTGAGGCGGCATTTGTGTTCTCGGTGTGGACGGAGACGTCGTATGGCTACCGGGGCAGCAGGGGCCTGACGTTTGTCATTAGCAGCGGAGACAAGACTGCGTGCGGGTCGAGCAAGATGGGGTGAGTCGGGGAGCAACATGGGATGTGACTGACTGAGTGTCAGGTGGATACCGGGTGGGTGTAACCTGCGAGATCCAGACATAGCTCAGTGAGCTATGTCTGGATCTCGCGGGGAGCAACATGGGATGCGACTGACTGAGTGTCAGGTGGATAAAGGGTGGATCTAGCCTGCCTCGTGGGAGGGGATTCGGGTTGACATGGGGCGGCGTTTGCGTTCTCGGTGTGGACGGAGACGTCGTATGGCTACTGGGGCAGCAGAGGGTTGGCGTTTGTTGTCACCAGCGGGGATAAGACTGCTTGTGGCTCGAGTGCCATGGGGTGAGTGAGTTGCAGAGAAGTGGAGTCACAAGCATTCCAAAAAAAAAAAAAAAAAAAAAAAAAAAAAACACGTCCGTCGTTGATTTAGTTAAAGTCGCGACTGCCATCCCTTCCGTACCTCACAATCCTCACTATCCCCTCCATCACTCCGTCCCCCCCTCCTCTACCTTCCCCACCCCACTCTCAGAGCCATAGGGTACGGGGGAGCAGCGCCAGGGGCGTTCAATGGGAGTGTGGCGGTGGAGGTGCGGTCGGGGCCCACCTCGTGTGTGGCTGTGGTGGTGAACGGCGTGGCTTCAGGTGACAACTGCGCTGCTGCTGACCACATGACCGGCCTCACAGGCGATCAGGTCGGTTCAGTGCGGTGAAGCGCAGTTCAGTGCGGTGGGTTGCGGTTTAGTGCGGTAAATTGCGGTTCAGTGCAGTAATATGCAGTTCAGTGCGGTGAAGTGCGGTTCAATGGGAGTGTGGCGGTGGAGGTGCGGTCGGGGCCCACCTCGTGTGTGGCTGTGGTGGTGAACGGCGTGGCTTCAGGCGACAACTGCGCTGCTGCCGACCACATGACCGGCCTCACGGGCGATCAGGTCGTTTCAGTGCGGTTCAGTGCGGTGGGTTGCAGTTTAGTGCGGTAAATTGCGGTTCAGTGCAGTAATATGCAGTTCAGTGCGGTGAAGTGCGGTTCAATGGGAGTGTGGCGGTGGAGGTGCGGTCGGGGCCCACCTCGTGTGTGGCTGTGGTGGTGAACGGCGTGGCTTCAGGCGACAACTGCGCTGCTGCCGACCACATGACCGGCCTCACGGGCGATCAGGTCGTTTCAGTGCGGTGAAGTGCGGTTCAGTGCGGTGGGTTGCGGTTTAGTGCGGTAAATTGCGGTTCAGTGCAGTAATATGCAGTTCAGTGCGGTGAAGTGCGGTTCAATGGGAGTGTGGCGGTGGAGGTGCGGTCGGGGCCCACCTCGTGTGTGGCTGTGGTGGTGAACGGCGTGGCTTCAGGCGACAACTGCGCTGCTGCCGACCACATGACCGGCCTCACGGGCGATCAGGTCGTTTCAGTGCGGTGAAGTGCGGTTCAGTGCGGTGGGTTGCGGTTTAGTGTTATAAGTTGCGGCCTAAATGTTCTGTTTTTTGTTGGTGGGTGGAATATGCATCTCACGCACATCTTTTGGAGTGAAGCATCCGTGCGTGTTTGCTCTGCCCTTAGCTCTGAGCGAGAGGCAGCACGCATGGGTGGCATACGATGGCACATCCCAGTCGGCCTCAGAAACCACTCTGTTCCCCCCTTATGTGTACACTGTGCGCACTATCCTTCTCTTGCAGAAAATAGCACTGAGCGAGAGGCAGCACGCGTGGGTGGCATACGACGGCACATCCCAGTCATTGGAGGTCTATCTGGGTGGCAGCGACGGCTTAAAGCCCGAGGAGCCGGTGCTGCGGGCGTCGCTTGATCTTGTGGCAGTCATTGGTGCCACGTCAGCGTCTGTGGGATTCACAGCTGGCACGTGGTGGTGGGGATGTGGCGACACAGACGACCACCACCTCATCCACTCCTTCTCCTTCAACACCGGTGAGCTCACAGCTCACGAATTACCAGAAAGCAGTGAAAATTATTAGTCAAGTGTTGATGGTGATGTCTGCTGGGCCCAGCAGACATCACCATTAATGGCTCTTCCCTTCCCTCTCTGTCAGCTTTCTGAGAGCCCTTTTGTGCTGTCCTCCTTCGGGCTTTGGCCCCAAATTCCCGCCCATCCTCCCCCCACCCACCCCAACCCCTCAGTGTCCCCTGGGTTCTTGCCAGCAGCGCAGCCAACACAGGCGCCCACCTGCGAAACCACCGCCTCCTCTCTGCACTGCACTGGGTTCGCCGGCTCCACCCCCTTTGATCTCAACGGCTACGCCCAGCTGGGCCCGGCGCCGCACTTCCCGCTGTGGCTCGACTCGTACGATTCTGTCGGCTCTGCGCTCTCCCTCGCGCCCCTCTCTCTCCTCACCGCCTCCGCCCGCTCCTCCGCCTTTGAAGCCGCCTTCTCCTTCACCTTCCTTGCTGATGCGTGCGCTGCTAATGTGGTGAGTCACTTTGAGAATTCTGAAAAGGAGGCTGACCCTCCTTGCGCTTTGAGACTGCCGTTCCTGAATCCCCAAAAAAAACAAAAAAAAAAAAGTTAATGAGGAACCTGAAAACGATTCCCAAAAGCCCTATCTTTGAGGCTGATGTTCCAAACTATTAATAGTTTGTGAGACATCCTAAGAAAAGTTGCCTTGCTTCACTAGCCATCCTCACTTACATGCACCCACCCTCATTTCACCAGCAAGCTGTCTTTTTGAGTGGACTCCATTTCTCCATCTCATCTCTCCAATCCTTCCATTCCACGCTTCCTGTTCCCTTCTTTCTGCTCCGTTTATTCAGAGCGTGGGCCGCGGCTTTGCCTTTGTTCTCACTAGCGGCGCTACAACTGCCCTTGGGAAGGCAAATGCAAGGTGAGGAGGAAAGCAGGCACAACGAGAAGGAAGAATCACGCAATTTTTCAAGGCCAGAACCAACGCAATTTTTTGGCAGTGGAGTTTCGCCTGTGCCCCGTGCCCTGTAGAACCGGCTCCATCTCTCCTTCCCTCACTTGCTTCCATGCTTCTCCCACCTCTCCCCTTGCAGCTCCGTCGGATATGGCTCAGCCAATGGGACGTTCGCCAGGAGTGTGGCAGTGGAGTTCCGCCTGTGCCCTGTACCCTGTATAGCTGTCTCCTCTAAGGGAGTTGTGGCGGGAGACGGCTGCGCTAACGCTGAGTATGGCGTGACACTTTCAGATCCAGAGGTGCGTTGTTTCCATCAGGCATGCATGTAATGAAAAGAGGTAACACCCAGCATTGGCAATATGCATGCTATGTGAACAAATCACCACCCCACCTCAACCCACCCCACCCTCGCCCACAACCCACAACAACCCCATCCAGGCCTTCCCTCTCAACACACAGCAGCACGCTTGGGTGACCTACCACGGGCCTTCCCAGACGCTCAGCATGTTCCTTGGTGGAGCTTCCTCGGTCAATCCAGGAGCCCTGATGCTCGCTCATTGCCCCTCTATCTCTTTCTTCTCTCCCATCTCCACTCCTCCCTTCCCTTCCTTCAGGCCTTCCCTCTCAACACACAGCAGCACGCTTGGATGACCTACCACGGGCCTTCCCAGACGCTCAGCGTGTTCCTCGGAGGAGCTTCCTCTGCTTCTGCCACTTATTCTGATTCGTCATCAGCTTCCTCCACTTCCTCCACTTCCTCCTCCACGTCACCGCCGGTCAAGCCAGCTGTACCAGTGCTCACTGCCCACGTGGACATCCCAGCCATCCTCGGCGCCACGTCAGCGTCGGTCGGATTCACAGCTGGCACGTGGTGGTGGCAGTGGGGGGCGAACGAGCGCCACATCATTCACGACCTGGCGTTCGTGGGAGGTGGGTGTGGGGGGGGAATGCCTTGTGACGATGAGCCTTAATATTGGGTAATGTCTTGGCCAAACGTCTTGAGGACTTTCTTTTTCTCCGTTCTTTCACAACCACCCATTCTCAGGAACCTTTTTTGAGACTTCCAACGTGACTGCAGAGCTCACAGCTCGGTTCGACCCGGCAAAACAGACAGAGCTGGGTGCTTTTTCCGTGTCAACCACTCAACCAAGCAGCACCACATCCAGCAGCAGCAACAGCAGCAGCAGCAACAGCAGCAGCACTCCAACCACCACCACCACCAACAACACCAGCACATCTGTCTCTCTTGCATCGCTCGCCCCCGACTCGACACCGCCCATCGTGGAGCTCCATTTCACTCCCCAAGGCAGCAGCAGCAGCAGCAGCAGCAGCAGCAGCAGCAGCAGCAGCAGCAGCAGCAGCAGCAGCAGCAGCAGCAGCAGCGTGCTTCCAGGGGCTCCAAGGACGCCTGTTTCTCGGCATCAGATCACGGCCTCTCGCCCCGCTGTGAGTCACACGGTACAGTGTCTTTTGAGTCGACTCAAAAGTCACTTCTGGGGCTCCAAGGACGCCTGTTTCTCGGCATCAGATCACGGCCTCTCGCCCCGCTGTGAGTCACACGGTACAGTGTCTTTTGAGTCGACTCAAAAGTCACTTCTGGGGCTCCAAGGACGCCTGTTTCTCGGCATCAGATCACGGCCTCTCGCCCCGCTGTGAGTCACACGGCACAGTGTCTTTTGAGTCGACTCAAAAGTCACTTCTGGGGCTCCAAGGACGCCTGTTTCTCGGCATCAGATCACGGCCTCTCGCCCCGCTGTGAGTCACACGGTACAGTGTCTTTTGAGTCGACTCAAAAGTCACTGTTGGGGCTCCAAGGACACCTGTTTCTCGGCATCAGATCACGGCCTCTCGCCCCGCTGTGAGTCACACGGCACAGTGTCTTTTGAGTCGACTCAAAAGTCACTTCTGGGGCTCCAAGGACGCCTGTTTCTCGGCATCAGATCACGGCCTCTCGCCCCGCTGTGAGTCACACGGCACAGTGTCTTTTGAGTCGACTCAAAAGACACTTCTGGGGCTCCAAGGACGCCTGTTTCTCGGCACCAAAGTACGGCCTCTCGCCCTGCTGTGAGTCACACAGCATAGTCAATGCACGAGCAATTCACAACCACCACCACCAGCACCGCTTTTGAGGTGCCTCGAAGGTCAAATTTCGGCCTCTCGCCCTGCTGTGAGTCGCACAGCCTAGCCAACACACAACCAAACCACAACCACCAGCGCCACCACAAGCACCTTGATGAGACGATTGGTTTTGAGACGTCTCAAAAACAGTTTATTATCACAGCGCCAGCACGGGAATCCTTATGAGACGATTGTCAAGTCGAATAGAAAAGCATGCGCATGTGTATGTATTCAACATGGAACGATTGGCCAATCCGTGTATAATAGCCAACCATGAATGTCTAATTGCCCTAACCCCACAAACCCCACGTGTGTCTGTCCAACATGGGGGATCGCCTCGCCCCATGGTTTTTTACCACTCAGCCCACACCTCGCTCCTTCTCCCTCTCCCCCCCGGCCCGGCCCTCCCCTTTAAATAGGTGCGAGCACACATGTCTGTCCAACATGGAGGATCGTCCCATGGGTGCTTGACCATCCAGCCCATACCCTCTCTCCTCCCTCTCCCCTACCGCCCTCCCTCTCTGCAGGTGCGAGCACACGTGTACGTGTCCAACATGGGGGATCGCCCCATGGCTGCTTGATTAGCCACCTACAAGTGCCTTACTCTCTGTGACACCCCCCCCCCCACCCACCCACTTTGCAGGTGCGAGCACACGTGTGTCTGTCCAACATGGAGGATCGCCCCATGCTTGATCACTCAGATCCCACCCCCTCTCACTCCTCCCCCTTTACTCCCACCCCCCCCCCCCCCCCCCTCCCTCTCTGCAGGTGCGAGCACACGTGTACGTGTCCAACATGGGGGATCGCCCCATGGGTGTTGGATCACCTACCCATGACTGTCTTGCTGACCTTATTCCCCTGAATCGCCCCCCCCTTCTTCCCCTCCCGTCTTTGCAGGTGCGGGCACATGTGTACGTGTCCAACATGGAGGATCGACCCATGGCTGACGTGGCAGTGACAGCACGCATCACCTACCCCAACGACACCGACGCCTCCCACTGCTTCGTCTTCAGCGACCCGCTGCTGCAGGGGATTGACGACGTCAGCGGTGCAGGTGAGAGTGGGCGGGACTGGGGCAGGTGGGACTGGCACAGGTGGTTGATTGTCACACGGGTGCAACACATGCGCCTCCCGCTGCTTCGCCTTTAGCGACCCGCTGCTGCAGAGGATTCACAACGTGGCTGGCGCAGGTGAGTTGGTCGGCGGCGTGGCAATACATGCGTGAGCACCACTGAGCACAGCAGCCAGGCATGCATCTCCCGCTGCTTCGACTTCAGCGACCCGCTGCTGCAGAAGATTCAATTCAATTCACGAACGACGTGGCTGGCACGCACAAGTGAGTCGCTCAGTGGCGTGGCAATACATGGGTGGGTGCACCACTTGTCGTCCCCTCCCTCTCTAGCTGCTATCCTGCCAAATGCTTATGCCACTATTTGTTGGCTGTTACAATTGCTTGACTGCTGCGACTACAAGCAGGTCTGTTTTAAGACGTCTCAAAACATGCTTATGCCACTATTTGTTGGCTGCTACAACTGTTTGACTGCATTTGCTTGCAACTCCTTGACTGCTGTGACTACAAGCAAGTCCCCACCTCAACTTTCCCTCTCGACTGCTTGACTGCTGTTACTACAAGCAAGCAAGCCCCCACCTCGTCTTTACCTCTCCCATCACCACCCCTCTGTCTTCCCCTCCCTCTCTAATGCTTACGCCACTATTCATTGGGTCTTACGACTGCTTGATTGCTGTTACTACAAGCAAGCAAGCCCGCACCTCATCTTTACCTCTCCCATCACCACCCCTCTGTCTTCCCCCCCTTCTCTAGGTACCATCCTGTCAAATGCTTTTGCCAGCATCGATTGGCTGTTTCTGCCACTTGACTGCGCCGCCTCAGCTGCTCCCACGAATTTCCAGCTGGGCGGCAGTCTTCAGTACACACTGCGAGACCCGTCAGCATCTGTGATACCAACGCCATCACTTTCTGCTGCTGCTGAAGGCACATCAGCGCCACCACCATCATCACCACCAGCATCAGCACCTGCAACAGCACCAGCGCCAGCAGAGGCGGTGCCAGCAGAGGCGGTGCCAGCAGAGGCGGTGCCAGCAGAGGCGGTGCCAGCAGAGGCGGTGCCAGCAGAGGCGGTGCCAGCAGAGGCGGTGCCAGCAGAGGCGGTGCCAGCAGAGGCGGTGCGAGAGCTGGTGGAGGTGACGAGTGTGCGAGTGACGGTGGCCCCTCCTCCCGCGCTGCAAGTGCATTACTTTGTGCCCCGGCACGTGCAAGGAGACGACCTCACCACTCCTCAGGTCCGCATGGGGAGAGTGGGCATCGGAGAGTGGGCGAGTGGGAATACTGGCAAGGCTGTTTCTGGTGTCTTTTGAGAATGCTCAAAAAACAGATTCAAGGATGTTGTCAGTGACTTGTGTGCCTCTCTTTTGATTTCTATCCCTCTTTCTGTTTCTCTCTCATAAAAGGTGGAGGCACCGGTGCCAGTCACGCTTGGAGCACTCTTTTACAACGCCGGCCACGGCACAGCTGCTGCTATCACCACACAGTCACTGCTGCCCACTGCTTCCACCACCACCACCACCACTGCTGTCGGCACCACCACTGCTGCAAGGATCACCACCGCTGCTGACGTGGGCGCTACAACCACAAGTAACGGCGGGACCACAACGGGTGACACGAGCAGTGCCGCCATGAGTTTCAACATCACCAAGACAGTGCTGGGCAATGAGCCGCAGCCGACATCCTTCTCCGTGAAGGTGTGGACATGCTGACGTGGACATGCTAACGTAGACATGCTGATGTGGACATGCTGATGTGCACGTCTGTGGACATGCTAACGTAGACATGCTGATGTGGACATGCTGATGTGGACATGCTGACGTGCAAACATGCACACACGCACGCGCGCGCACACACACACACACACACACACACACACACACACACACACATGCGCGTGCACGTGCACACACACACCAGTTGCTTATTCCTATCCTGACCCACCCCTTCATCCCGCCCCATCCCCCCTCTCCTTTCCCTCTCTCCCCCCCTCTCCCCGACCTCTCTTCCCCCTCCTCTCCTCTCCTCGCCCCCAGGTGGGAAGCATCCCTCCTTCCGCTACAGCCATGGTGCGCTGGACCATAGAATCCAGCCTTACAGGCACATTCGATACAGTCACCACCACCACCACCACCACCACCTCCTCCTCCCCGCTCACCGGCCTCTCCCCCATTCTCGAGTCGGTTGACATTCACAACCTCGTGCACGTCGTCTACCTACCCGACTCTGCTTCAGGTACACCCCCTCCCATCTTATCCCATCCCATTCCATCCCGTCCCCTCCCATCCCATCTTATTCTAATCTTTCCCTGCTTAATCCAACCGCCACGTTTCAGACCATAGCTTATAGGGTTTCTGACCAGACTGAGTCATGTGCATGTGTCAGTTATGAGTTGACATGTGATGTCACCTTGGTGCCTTACAGAGTTTCTAACCCTTACAGAGTTTCTCACCCAACCCATCCTTTCTATGTCTGACTCGTTCCTTCAGACGAAGATCTGCTGGATTTCTTGGTGGACGACGACGGCGACGACGGGGACGAGCAGGGCCTGAACCGATGCCATCCCTTACCATCCCTTACCATCCTCCCTCATTGTTGTGTTGCCTCCTTCCACTGTTGTCTTATCAATCTCACCCGTTCCTACAGACGACGGGCTGCCGGATTTCCTGGTGGACGATGATGGGGACGAGCAGCCGGAGGCCATCTACAGCAGCGCTGGTAACCGCGTGCTGCCTGTAACCGCCGTGCCCTCTGCTGCTCTCACGCTCGGCCGCCCGCTCTTCACCAGCGAGACGCGCGCCAAGCTCACTGTCGCTGTAGACTGGTGAGTGAAGAAGCGGAGTGATGAATGGTTGTCATTTCTAATCAGTACTTTACCTGCAGATTGCTGGGCACACCACCGGGGAGAAAAGAAGTAAGAGAGAGAAAACAGAACCAAAAAAAAAAACCTGTGGTGTTAATCTCCCAACTTCAGCAACCTTTCCTCGTCCAACCAACCCACGTGCCATGTTCCTCGCCATGCTCGCAGGTCTGCCCTCGCACCAGCAGCAGCAGGGGGGTGGGCGCACATGTCATTTGCATCGCAGCTGCCGTCGCACTGCTGGAATCTCACCGCTGCTCTCCGATCCAACGGCTCTCAGCTGCCCGTGCCCTTCAACACCTGGTCCTCCTTCTCCTCCTCCCCCGCTGCTCCCACTGCTACCGCTGCTGCCCCTGCCCCTGCCACTTCAACCACCACTGCCCCTGCTTCTTCCACCCCTGCTTCTTCCACCCCTGCTTCTCCTGCTTCTGACACCACTCACATTCTCGACTTTGTCTCCTCTCCCTCCTACACTCTCTTCTTCTCTTACTATGATCAGACCCTCTCCTTCCCCCACCTCTCCCCCTGCTTCCAGGCTGTCATGCCTCCCCCTCCCTCCCCCCCCCAACCCTCCCCCTTCCCCTCCCCCTCGCCCACCCCCCCGCCCCCCTCCAAACCCTCCAAGGCCTCCCCCAAAACCCTCGCCTCCCCCCCGCCCACCCCCAAGTCCCCCCAGGCCCCCATCTCCCCTACCCCGACCTCCCCCGAATCCCCCCAAGCCTCCCCCTCCGCCTTCCCCTCCCCCACGCCCTCCCCCTCGCCCTCCTTCCCCCCCTCCCAAGACTTCAACCACTGGTAAGCCCCCTCCCTCCCCTCCCCCTAAGCCTCCGCCCTCCCCTCCCCCTAGACCACCCCCAAGCCCCCCACCACTGAAATCACTCACAAGTTCTCCCCCACCAAGACCCCCTCCCTCTCCTCCCCCCAAACCTCCTCCATCTCCTCCTCCCAAACCACCTCCCATACCTCTGAAACCCCCTCCCAGCCCACCTCCTAAAAAGCCCAGCCCCCCACCACCGAAACCCCCTCCTCCCAGGCCCCCACCACCCAAGCGCAGGTACCCTCCACCACCCAGAAAACGATGGCGCTTCCTCCAGATATGAATTTGTAAGGCGAGCTGAAATCTGTCCCACCCAACCCCAGTTAATTCCTGATGGGGTTGAAAGGGCAAGTGGGAATTTCTGACTGTTGTAGAAGGGGGTTCTTGATTCGTCCTCTTGTATTTGTTTCGTTTAAGTCAAAGAGGAACACATATCTATTATTGCCCTACGCAACTGATATCTACCATCTATGGTGACAGTGAACCCACAGCTCATTACATCAGAAGCGAAACAGAACCCACAAACATTGCACAAATCTTTGCTACATGGTAGCCCCCAAATGCTTATATTACAGTAGCACTTCACTGATCTTATCATTAGGGTTATTTTCCTACCTAAAGAAATGAATACACGATGCAACATTTTTTTCTGGTTTTCTAACGAAGCCTCACCAACACAACTGTCTCCCGCTGCTTCGACCGAAAGCGCTACCTGACACAGGCCAGTAGGAGCCTTCGCCAGAAACTATCGCACCAGGTAGCTAGCTGCTCCCATCCCATCGCGTCGCGCCACAGTCTCCGCCCCGCGAGCACAAGGGTTGCGCGCGCCAGCTCAGCTCACGCTATCATACCATTGAATGGTATCTTAGGGAGTTACGGTACTGCAATGCTACCGTACGTCTGTGCTTTCTATGACAGTCCTCCGAGGTTTTTCCTTGCGCGCCGAGCCATCCGACCAGCCAATTTCCAAGGAAAGTACCGCGCACAACATCCGCGTACGTCGCGGGGAGGCGGAACAGAGCCATTCCGCTCGTCATTTCTAAGGAAACTTCCTGCGCCGGTAGACCCTCTGCTTCTGACCCACGAGTCCTCTCCTTTCCCCCTTCCTCACCCACGGCGTTCGCGGCGCAAGCTTTTCTCACTCTCGCTCCCATTCTCCCCGCCGCGTGCTCGCCGAAGATGCGAATGAATCGGGGTTACCAGCTCTCACCGCGCGCGCACTTTTCTAGGGCGGCCCAATGCGACGCTGGACGTCGCATACGTTGTTCCCCGCGGCAGACTCTCGAGTCTCCGCTGGGCTCTCCCCTCCCGCATCTCCCGCTGCGTCTGTGGCGGCGGTGGCGCCACACCCCGACAGATGTACCGACTATAAAGATTCCGAATTCGTTCCCGATTCTCATCACACCATCCCTCGGGAAAGCGAGCCGTTTCTACTCATCCAGTCTTAATAGCTAATCCTTCTTACACCATTCATTCCGAGCTGATACTTCGTACTTCTGCTGCTGCAAGCAGATCCTACTGCAACCACTAGTACCACTCCCGACCGTAATCGTTCCGGAGGCAGCCCTTCCGTCGTCGACACCTTCCGCCAGGGTTTCACCCACCAGCGTATCGCCACCATCATCATTATGGCTTCGTCGAAGCTTCTCGCCCTCGGGATCCTCCTGCTCGTCGTTGCCAGTCTGGCGACCTTCGCCGTCGCAGACGACGACGACGACCGTCCGAAGCGCGATCGCAAGCGGGACGGCTCCGGCAACCGCGACCAGGATCGTGACAGGGACCGCGACAGAGACGGCTCCTGCAGCAAGTCCGGCGGCTGCACCGGCAGCGGCAGCGGCAGCCGCCAGAAAACTGGCACTGGCCAGCAGGGCGACGGCTCCTGCAGCAAATCCGGCGGCTGCACAGGCAGCGGCGGCGGCGGCCGGCAGGGCAGCAGCCGGCAGGGCGGAAGCGGCGCAGGCGGGCGCGGAGGCGGAGCGGGACGAACGGGGAGCGGCGCTGGCGCGGGTGCGGGTCGCGGCGGGCAGCTGGGCGGGAGCAACAGCGCTGGCAAGGTGCGACAAGGCAAGAAGGGCGGCGGAAACTGCAGCGGCAGCGTGTCCGGCTCGTGCAACGGCGGGGGCGGAGGGTCGGGGAGAAACGCGGCGGCGGCGAGCATTCAGAGTGCGGGGTACGTGGTGGCGGACAACCGGGAGAGGGATCGCAAGAGGGACGGGTCTGGCGACCAGGACCGCGACCGCGACCGCAAGCGCGACGGCTCCGGCTCCTCTGGTTCCTCCTCGTGCTCGCGATCTGGCGGCTGCACTGGCAGCGGCAGCGGTGCTGGTCGGCAGGGTTCGGAGCAGCAGCAGAGCCGCGGTCGTGGCGCAGGTGCAGGCGGAGCGGGCAGCATGAGTGGAGGGGGCGGGCGGCAGGGAGCGGCTGGACGCACGGGCGCGGGCGCAGGGAAGGGGGCTGGCGCGGGGTTGAGGGGGAGCGGTGGGGGAGGCGGGAACTGCAACGGAAGTGGGTCTGGGTCTGGAAACTGCAATGGGAGTGGTGCGGGCAGGAAAGGGAGTGGTGGGGGAGGTGGTGGGAACTGCAATGGAAGCGGGTCTGGAAACTGCAATGGGAGTGGTGCAGGCAGGAAGGGAGGGAGGAAGGGGGGACGCGGGGACAATGACGACAATGACGGCGATGACTAGATTGCGTTGGCCGCTGTTGGAGTGATTCCGAGTGTCTTGCAGGGATGGCCTTGTGGTGGTGGGGCGCGTTGTGGGTTTTGAATTTGCTTGTTTTCTTGTGTGTTCTAGTTTATTATATCTTTCTAGGATTGGTGGGCTGGAAATATTTGGTGGTTTGCTTGTGTTGGGAAAGCTACGGTAGCATGTGCTTGCGCAACCACCCTATGCTTGCCTTCTCCATAATGATTAATGTTATATGCTAAATGCCTTGGAGTGATTTTTGTCAGTTCAACAACAATAGAATGAGCTTGTCTCAATGATCCATCAAGGCGCCCTCAGAAGTCATTCACGGCCACGTCCATGTCGTCTATCTGAGACGACTTTTGAGGTGCCTCAGAAGTCATTCACATCCAGGGCCCAAAATATCAGGGTAAAACACCCTGATTACCCTGGGGGGCGGCTGCTTTTTCAGGATTACCCTCCTGAAATCAGGATTGCGAATTAGTTACCCTTCTCTTAAATGAGCATGTTTTATTTTACCCTGCTAGGTTTTTAGCTTACCCTGGCGGAATCAGGGTTTGGTGTACACTACCCTATTACCGAATCTTTTCTAACGCAAATCAGACCATAGTCCGCGTGGTGACAAAACGTACAACACCTCCACAAACACCCGTTGTCGCTCATGCCCACGCGTATGGAAACTTGCATCGTAGTTGGCAGCACGCCAAGAATCCTCATTGGTTGTTTTTGCCGCAGGACTGCCAACAATTATTGATCCTCGTCACTTATCGCCACGTCCACCGCCATCACAACAGAATTGGCTGTCAAGGACAGCTTCAAGCTGTCCTTAACAACAACTTGCAGCCTCAGTGCGGCCTTGCTGGCCATAACAAGGCCCGCCCCGTGGAAGAAACGGCCAGTTGCGTGTGTTGACTTCATGGACTCTGAATGTGCTACTTGTGTATATCATTAAAAATAAGTTAACTCACAAAATAGATACAAAAACAGAATTAGCCTAAAACTACCCTGCTCAAATCAGGCTAGTGGTACATTTACCCTGCTGAAAACAGGGTATGAATTTTTTTACCCTAGAGGTCTGGTTAAGGAGGGGCTGGTACCCTAATTCGTAAGGGTAGGCCTAAACCAATTTTGGGCCCTGTTCACATCCTCGTGCACGCCGTCTATCTGCCTGAAGCCGCTTCAGGTAAGCCCCGACTCAGGTGAACCTATCTGTCAAGAACGAAAGAGTTGGTTCATTGATGTGGGTTGTGGTACATATGACAAACCCTAACATCTGTACCCCCTAAGACAAACTTCACTAAGGCTACAACATTTGACACACCCCTATAGCCTAAGTGAGGGGTGTCTAACAAAACCAGAAGTGTACAGTCACAAGACCAGTCACAATGATACAAAGCTCAGGGTGGATCATAACGTCACCACACATTCTAAGCACAAGCAACAATGGTCACAAGTGTCAAACTATATACTTGTTGTTTAGTTAGGCTGTATTGGGGCTAGCTTTAGGGGGTACATAATTTCCCTCGACATTCTAGTCTTGTACCCATCTTGACCTAACACAATCATCCTTGCCTAGGTATTCTAACATGGCATCTAGAGCAGGTTCTTAGGACCTAAGATTAAGGGCCCACCCATTACCGTATTACCAACGGCCTGCTTGCCTTGCCTGCCTGTGTGCCTAGTCTCTTGACCGCGCGCGCCTCGGCTGCGCACGCGCGCGTAGCTCTTTTTTTTTTAGCGCGCGCACTACTGCTGCCAGCCGCGTCGCGCCCCGCACGTCACCCGCGCAGCCCTCTCTGAGCCCGCGCGGCCCCACGCACGGCCCGCAGCTGCCCCACGCACGCCCGTGTGAAAAAGTGAACGCGAATGGATGAACTATGAATGAAGTGAGTACATATAGGAAACCGTAACTGGGTTGTACCCCCTATGGGATACCCCACTATAGCCTACACAACAGCATAAGCTATGATGTACTGACACACCCCCATAGGCAAAGTGGGGGAGAACAAGGGGTCACAAGACCAGTCAAGCAAAGCAAAGCAAGCTCAGGGTGGATCACAACGTCACCATACAGTCTGAGCACAAGGTCAAGGCCACAAGGCCAGTTCACATGGAATCAGAGCAGGTCCCCTCCTAGGGACTGTTCCTAGGGCCCACCGAAGCGCGCCCCGAGGCGCGCGTTCCTTTTTTTTAGCGACCCTCCGTGTCGCCCCTAGCGGCTCGTGACGCCGCCCTTACCTACGCGGCCCCGCCGCCCTTACCTACGCGGCCCCGCCGCCCTTACCTAGCGGCCCCGCCGCCCTCACGTACGCGGCCCCGCCGCCCTCACCTTCGCGGCCCCGCCGCCCTTACCTACGCGGCCCCGCCGCCCTTACGTCGCGGCCCCGCCGCCTTCACGTCGCGGCCCCGCCGCCTCACCTTCGCGGCCTCGCCACCCTCACCTTCGCGGCCCCGCCGCCCTCAACTTTGCGGCCCCTCCGCCCTTACCTACGCGGCCCCGCCGCCCTTACCTACGCGGCCTCGCCGCCCTTACGTCGCGGCCCCACCGCCCTCACGTCGCGGCCCCGCCGCCTCACCTACGCGGCCCCGCCGCCCTCACCTTCGCGGCCTCGCCGCCCGTGCCTACGCGGCCCCGCCGCCCTCACCTTCACGGCCTTGCCGCCCGTGCCTACACGGCCCCGCCGCCTTCTCCTACGCGGCCCCGCCGCCCTCACGTCACGGCCCCGCCGCCCACACCTTCGCGGTCCCGCCGGTCTCCCCTCCTGCCGAGCCGCCCGAGCAGCCGCCCGCCACGCCGCCGGGTACCGGAGCAGCTGAGCCGCCCAGCAGCAGCCGCCGAGCCGCCGGGCCGCCGAGCAGCAGTCCAGCTGAGCCGCCCAGCAGCAGCCGCCGAGCCGCCGGGCCGCCGAGCCGCAGTACAGCCGAGCCGCCCAGCAGCAGCCGCCGAGCCAACGGGCCGCCGAGCCGCAGTACCGCCGAGCCGCCCCGCAGCCGAGCCGCACTACTGCCGAGCCGCCCGACCTGCCCTGTCTGGTGAGCACAGCCCCACTGCTACTGCGTGCCCTTCCCCCACTGCTTGCACTGCTAGTCTGTCGTCATGGCTACCCCTAGTGTCCTCTCTTTTGACGCTGAGGGTCGAGCCATTGACTTTGAGGTCTGGGTCGACGACCTGCAGCTGTTTTTACAGTGCGATAGGGCGGACGGTCTTTCTCTCTTTGACCTCACCTGTGGCGCCTCCCCTGCTCCTGCTGCTGATGCTGACCCCACTGTTCGCTCTCAGTGGGCCACCCGCGATGCTGCTGCACGTCTTGCTGTGCGTCGCCACCTGCCTACCACTGAGCGCGCGCACTTTAGTCAGTACAAGAGTGCTCAGACCTTGTACGACGCTGTAGTTGCGCGCTACTCTTCCCCTGCCACTGCTGCACTGAGCCGCCTCATGCTACCGTACCTCTTTCCTGACCTTGCTGCCTTTCCTACAGTCGCTGACCTCATCACGCACCTCCGCACGTCTGACACTCGCTACCGCGCCGCACTTCCTGCTGAGTTCTGCGCCAGGAACCCCCCCCATGTACATCGCTCTCTATTACATAGTCACTCGCCTCCCTGACTCCCTTCGCGTAGTCAGGGACCACTTCCTCTCAGTCTGTCCCACCACCCTCACTGTCGACCTCCTCGAGAAGGCCCTCCTAGCGGCGGAGAAGAGCATAGTCGCTGTAGGAGCCTCTCGTGGTGACCCGCGCACCCCCATCTTTGAGGGGTGTTCTCCTTCCCCCCTGCTGCCCTCTGTTGCCTCTGCTGCTGCTGCCGACTTGCTTGGTCTTGAGTCGGTCGGCGCGGCGTCTGCCCCTAGCGGGAGACGCCGCCCTGGCAAGGGCAAGGGGGGCAAGGGCGCGGGTGGAGCTGGCAGGGGCGGTGGAGGTGGCAGTGGCACTGGCGGAGGGAGTGGGGGTGGCGGTGGGAGTGGTGGTGGGGGTGGTGGTGGTGGTGGCGGCAGCGGAGGCGGCGGCGGTGGCGGCGGCGGCGGTGGGAGCGGAGGCGGCGGTGGTGGCGGAGGTGGAGGCGCCGGTGGCGGAGGAGGTGGAGCCGGTCGGGGTAGTGCCCCGCAGCGGAGCGGCTCTGGTGGTGGTCAGCGCCAGCAGCAGCAGCAGCAGCAGAAGCGGTCTCGGGACATCCCCCCGCCTCAGCAGCTCCGTGAGTGGTACACGTAGCATCAGCGTGGTGGGGGTCTTGGCCCGTGCACCTACGTTCTTCGTTCCGGCGACCGCGCGGGTGAGCAGTGTGGGGGCGCCAACTCCACCCAGCATTGCTTTGGCCGCCTGACGGACGCTTGGCGTCAGCAGTTCCCCAAGGCTAGTGAGATTCCCCGCTGGGGAGAGCTGTCTAGGGCTGGCGAAGCGATCTTTGATCTTGACTTTGATGCTATCCTTGCTGCCATGTATGCTGTGACTATTAGTGATAAGGGTGACTGTTACCGGTGTTTCTCGCCCGACCCGGGCATTGGTACTGCTGCGCTAGGTGCTTGTGAGGCTACTGCTCTGATACCATGTGAAGAAGTGAACGCGAATGGATGAACTATGAATGAAGTGAGTACATATAGGAAACCCTAATTGGGTTGTACCCCCTATGGGATACCTTACTTTAGCCTACACAACAGCATAAGCTATGATGTTCTGACAGCCCGCGCAGCCTGCGCCGCGCCAACACAGCCTGCCCGCGCAGCCAGCGCAGCCCGCCCGCGCAGCCAGCGCGTAGACAGCGCACCGCCCGCATTGCGCCCTGTCAGCCCTCGAGTGGCCTGCCGCCGCGCCCTGCGCACTTCGTTGCCCGTGTGTCACGCGTCCGCTCTAGCCGCGCGCCGCCCGTATTGCACTTGCCTGCCTTGCACCTTGTCTGCCTTGCGCCTTGCCTGAGGTGCGCCTGCCTGCCTTTAGCCTGCCTGCCTTGCGCTTTGCCTGAAGTGCACCTGCCTGTCTTACGTGTGCCTGCCTGAAGTGCATCTG